AGACACTTTGAGAGACTCTTGGATGCTAGGACACCTTGATGAAGGCCCCTCCCCCCCCAGCCACCAGAAACAATGATTAGCCAGAGAACTCAGGTAAGGAATTGTATTCAAGGGAACACCTGTTTTCTTAGAGGTTGCTTAGAAGGATGATAGACACAGGGTGTGGCTAGGTAGGAGAAGGGGGAGGGTGGGAGCTAGAATAGTCACTCAAACAGGGAAGAGTATTTAAGAGGAAAAAAAACTCATTTTGAGGGCAGTTAAGGTTGGGGGTTTGGGTTAACCTCTGGGCTAGAAATGGGTGCTTAGCAGTGCCGGCACCATGTTTAAGACGTGCATTAGTGATCACAGGCTGCTCATACATAGAGCCACTGGAGTAGGGTCGGATGAAGCTCATTTGCCTGCTCAGTTATCAAAAGATCCATACAAAGGCTCCAGCTAGTTTTATTTACCTCTTTTTTTTTTCTTTTAAAGATTTATTTATTTGTGCATACAGAACTGGGGGACAGACCAGAGGTACAGGGGTGGTGAGAGGCTTTACCAAAGACAGAGTGGGAAGAATAGGCAGATCAACAAAGTACACTGCTGAGGGGAGCCGTGGGCCGATCAGAAGAGGTCTGCTGTGCCCTGTGGGTCACCTGCCAGGTCAGGGATTGAACTCGTGCTGAAGTAGCTTTGACTAGCTTCACTGTGCTACACTTTAACCTGCTGTGCCACCAGGGATGGCTTTAATGTCTTTTGATGAAAAGAAGTTCTTAATTGTAAAATCTTGCTTTTCAGTATTTTCTTCTATGGTTAGCGCATTTAGTGTCCTATCCAAGAGTCTTTAGTCATGAAGATCTGTATTCTCATCTAAAAACCATATTGTCTTTCCTTTCATATTCAGATATCAAACTTATCTGGAACGAATTATGCAGGAGTATAAAGTTGGGGTTTCATTTGATTTTTTTCTACTTGGATATCCAACTGTGACCCATCACCATTTATTGAAAAGCTTACCCTTTCCTCAAGCTAATTTTTTTTTTTTAAGATTTTATTTATTTGTGCATACAGAACTGGGGTACAGGCCAGAGGCTCAGGGACGGCGAGAGGCTTCACCAGAGACAGAGTGGAGAACAGAACAGGCAGATCGACGAAGTACACTGCTGAGGGGAGCAGCGGGCGGGTCAGGAGAGGTCTGCTGCGCCATGTGGTCACCTCCGGGGCAGGCGGGAATCGAACTCATGCGGAAGCGGCTTTAGATTCTCAGTGCTGTGCTTTAACCCGCTGCGCCACCAGGGAGGGCCTCCTCAAGCTAATTTTTAAGACCCTCCTTTAGCAAAATGCAACTCTACACAGCTAGGCCCATCTCCATTTTGTTCCATTGTCCTGTGTATCCTACCATAACCACCATCCAGACTTGGTTTGTATAGCTTTTTAACCTTGATATCCAGTATAGTAAGTTGCCCTTCTACTTTGTTTTGTTTAGAAACTGGGATATTGGCCAGAGGCACGTGGGGTGAGAGACTTCATCAGAAACAGAGTGGGGAGCAGAACAGGCAGATCTACTGAAATACACTGCTGAGAGGAGCAGTAGGCGGCTCAGGAGAGGTCTGCCACACCATGTGGGTCACTGCCCAGGCTGGGATTGAACTGGTTCTGCAGTGGCTGTGGGTAGCTTCATAGTGCTTCAATCTGTTAAACCACTGGGGAGGCCCCCCCTTTTTTTTTTAAAACAAGACTGTTGGGAAGCCTTGATTTTAAAATCTCATTTGTCAGTACACACACAGTATCTACTGGAATTTTTTTTTTTTGCAATTTTTTTTATTATTATTATATAACAGTTATCTACTGGAATTTTTCTTGGCGTTGCATTGATCCATATTATCAATTTGGGAAGAATTGGTATCGTAGTTGAATCATCCTATCTTTGAATATATTTCTTCATCCCATTTGTCTTTATTCCTTTCAATGTTTTACTCTGTGTGTTTGCTCATTGCACATCTTTCATGTGATTTCTTGGCATTTGATGTTATTAAATTAAATTTTTCTGTTGCTGATATGTAGGAAATACAACTCTCTTTTAAATGTTAACCTTGTGTCTGAAGACTTTGCTAAATTCAGATTCCTCACATATAGGTTCTTTTGGTTCTTGTATGTATATACTCCTGTTGCCTGTGAATAGGCATTTTTTTGCTTTCCAAGTATCATATCTTTTTATTATTTTTCTTGCCTTACTTTACTGGCTAGGCACCCCAATATATTATTAAGGTTTGTGGTCATGAATGTAAAATGTTTTGCTTTAGCAATGCTCTGCTGCTCTAGAGATGAGGAATATACAGATAGTTTATTTTAAGTGGGGTTAGATTTAAGTTGCAAATTTGTCTAAGAACAGGTAGAAAATGTATTACAGTGCTGGATTCTATAAAGCTAATGGTAAGAAGCTGAAGTGATGAATGATGAAGAGCTCAGTAAGATCAAAGGACTGTTGGATATTTGAGCTGGGTGGGTGGCTTCTGGCCCACACTCTCCCAGCAGGAGAGACAAACAGCACAGGGAAGAAAAGGCAGGAGGAGAGAAGCAAAGATGTCTTAGATAGTAGTTTCTGCCAAGACTTTGCCCTCAGGTCTCCCCACCTGCTCACTGTCTGCTTCACAGCAGCCTCACACCCAGGTCTCTGGATTCTCAGTGGACCATCTAGCTTGAAGCTAGAGGAGAGAGGAAGAATGAGTCGTGTAGGGGTCTAGCTATGTTCCTTAGCACAGAGACAAGAGTGGACTTGGAGAAACTATCGCCAATACTTAGTTTTTACAGGAGGCATTAGAAGTTGCTACTGTGGGTGGAGAATGCAGACGAGTGCAGATGGGCTTGGGAAGGTCTGCACAGAACAGTAGCCACAAAGGACAACAGTGAACACAAGGATGGCAGGAAGAAAAAGAGCCATCATGGGTAGTCATCTTAGTGGTCCGGGGTGTTGAGTTCTAGGTCTTGCTCTCTACATGAAACACCAGTGGGAGCCTATGTCAGCCCTAGTGAAGAGAGGAGGGGCCCTATAAGCCTTTGCATCCATGCAGCCTCAAAGATCAGGACTACTTCCCTTGCAGATGCAGACCTCTTGGTTACTCAAGACTGCACAGACATCTATGTGAAGACTTTCCAGATCGCTAACTGGGCTCAGGAGCCTCCTGAGGTAACCCAGCACTCCTCTCCATAGTGTTCTGCCTGTCTCCCTCCTCCACTGGTTTAGTTTTGTATCCTCCATCCGCTGGACTGAATCAGGGGGGCTGGTATGTGCACAACCAGGTCCCTAGTCTTCCTCCTCCAGCCCCAGCTAGATTGGGCTCCCATCCAACAGAATTCCCCTTTAGCGCTTCTGGAGATGCTCCACCTTCACACTCATAAGTATCAGGCGTGGAGTTCGAACCCTAGGGGGAGCGCAAAATGGGAAATGTGCCTTGGCACCTCAGAAGCCCACCACCAGGTTTAAATAGACACGTGGGGGTGCTAGAAAAGCCCCGCCTCCCGGAAGCAAAATAGTCCAGAGGCCAAAGAACGCACCATTGGTTGGTGGTGATGTCATAGTTACCATTTGGGGCGGGCCAGAGACCTTAGTCAGTTCTCCTGGGTTTCAAGCAGGAGCCGCGCCCATTGGAGCATTTCCAGTCCTGTTCTTAAACTCCTGAGTTCTGGGACTCCCGCGCCCTCCGCACGTGATGCTTCTTCCCGTAGTCTCTGTTGCCTTTGCAAACCAGTCTATAGAGCGGCTTCTGAATTATTTCTCCTGCTGTCTTGGAAGCTCCCCCTCCCCCCAGAGCTCCCTCCCCTTCAGACAATGAGTCCGCCGTAGGGGGTGGAGAATTCCATTGTGCCAATAGAAACAGTGGCTTGCTGATTGGAACGCTCCGCCTTCACCTCCCTCCACCCCTCCACGCCCCTGCTAGTCTTCGGTTACGCCTATTCCGCCACTTCTGTCCATTGGCCAGCCTGGACTGACTTGCTCCTGGAGTTGCGTAGTGCTGGGCCAGTGGGAGAATTGAGCTTCCGTTGGTCCCTTCAAGGGGTTAAGGGACGCGGTCGTGGAAGGGTAGGGGCGGGGTTCCGAGGAGGCTGGGCCCGCAGCGGTACGGCAGCACCGGCTTCGCAAGGCACCCCAACGCACTTAAGACCCGCGACCTGGAGAGTGGAGGAGTCCTCAGCTTGGGAGAGTGCTAGGAAGGGCTAGACAGGAAAGGGTTTGCCTCTGCTCCCTCCTCGGGCGGGTCACCTCTCGTTCCTATTCCACAGGGGCGTTCTCAACAAGCAGATGTTCGCGACAAGTTTCACGAGTTAAAAGTCGCTGATCAGTTAAAGCTATTGTTCTGGCTGCTGGCTCCCCGGGACCCCGTCCAACCCCCAGGATTCTACATGCTACTTCCGCCCATGAGTCGGTGGGAACGCTATCTCTATACACCAAATTTTCAGAATTTCAAACTTCGAGACAGGGTGTAGAAATAGTGCTTAGGGAGCAGAGAAACGGCTAGGAAGCGCACCTAGGAGAGCGCCCTAGGAGTGGTCGGGTGAGGGCGGTGGCCACGACGAAGAGGGTGGAGCTAAGGGCGGAGAACTTCCGTGCCCTGTTCAGCACCGCGGGCAGTACTTGCGATGTGCCCTCAACAAAGATGGTGGCAACAACTACGGTAGTCAAAATTGCCATGCGCGGTGGGCTATACCACCGGATTTGGGACTTTGGGGCGGAGGTGGAACGAACCATCACGGCGGCCGGAAGCCATGTTGGAGCGGCGGGAGGCGGCAGCAGCGTCGGGGATGCTGTGGTGGGGGCGGCAAAAGCCGAGGCCGCACGCCAAAGGGGCTCTGGCCGCAGAGTAGATGGTGCCCAGAGGGCGGTGGCGGCGCGGAGCGACAGGCCGAGAGGCGGGGGATAGGGGCGGCGGCAGGGGCCTGGGAGGGGGCCCGAGCGGCGGGGCGGGCCCAAGACCCGGACCCGGGCGGGGGACGGTGGAGGCCGTGTGGGAAGGTGGGGGGTGATGGCGAGGCAGCCTCCGTGGGAGGGTCTCAGGGGGCCGACGACCCCGTTACTCCTACTTGTTCTCCTCTCTTTGTTCCCTCTCAGTCGGGAGGAGCTGGGGGGCGGCGGGGGCCAAGACTGGGATCCAGGGGTACCTGCCGCTACGGGGCCAGAAGCGCAGATAGGCGGTGGAGCCTTAGTTCTTTGTCCCGAGCCGCCTGGGGTCAGAAAGGATGGAGAGTCTGGTCTTGGAGTCAGAGACCCTGTTTTCGTGGGGTTCCGAGGGAGAAGGCAAAGCGCTCAGAGTGACCGAGGGCTCCCTGAGCAGCCGGACGCAAGGTTGGGGGCGGAATATGGGGTCCAGGCATTAGGCAGTCGCGGGCGAGATGTTACTGGACAAGGACCAGGGTCTCTGTTATGCTGGCGCCCAGAGGTCTCCTCTTGCGGGCGTACAGGACCCTTGCGAAGAGATAGTCTGTCGCCAGAGGCTATGTCCCCAGGGGTGTTGGGTCCAGAAAACAACTCGCCCTTCCCTTCGGACCTTTTGGTTCGGACTCATGGTTCCAAACTGATGTCCTCCCCGAGGAACGCTGGGAGAGGCTTCCCCCAAAAAGTAGGAACCACGCGCTGTTGCGGAGAATTGTGGGCACCGGGGCGCAGGGGTCAGGGCGAGAGAATTGCAACGTCCCGAGCAGAGAGGACAGTTTCCCGACCGGACTGTTCTCCTGGGTCTGAAGGATCTGGCCCCAGGTTTGATTCAGCACCGCGCATGGCACGGATAGCTCCAGCTCCTGGTTCAGCACCACGCGGGTCTCGGACAGCTCCCGAGCCGGCACCTGAGCGCATGCGCTCCCGCCGTCTCTTCCGCCGCCGCTTCCTCCCGCAGCGCCCCGGGCCGCGCCCCCCGGGGATCTGGGTACAGCCTGGAGCCTGGAGAATGCCCCCAGCGAGCCGGGTTCGCCCCCGTCGCGCCGCAAACCGCCACCCTCAGTTTCCACAGTACAACTATCAGGCTTTAGTGCCGGAGAACGAGGCAGCTGGCACCGCGGTGCTACGCGTAGTGGCACAGGACCCGGACGCGGGAGAGGCCGGGCGCCTAGTCTACTCGCTGGCCGCGCTCATGAACAGTCGCTCTCTGGAGCTGTTCAGCATCGATCCGCAGAGCGGCCTTATCCGCACAGAGGCTGCTCTGGACCGGGAGAGTATGGAGCGTCATTACTTGCGCGTGACAGCACTGGACCACGGCGTGCCGCGCCTCTCTGCCACCACCATGGTGGCCGTCACAGTAGCCGACCGCAACGACCACGCGCCAGTGTTTGAGCAGGTGCAATACCGAGAGACTCTTCGCGAGAACGTGGAGGAAGGCTACCCCATCCTTCAGTTGCGTGCTACAGATGGCGACGCGCCCCCCAACGCCAACCTGCGTTACCGCTTTGTGGGGCCGCCCGCTGCCCACTCCACTGCTGCCTTTGAGATTGATCCACGCTCGGGCCTTATCAGCACCAGTGGTCGCGTAGACCGCGAGCACATGGAAAGTTATGAGTTGGTGGTGGAGGCCAGTGACCAGGGTCAAGAGCCCGGGCCGCGCTCTGCCACCGTGCGTGTGCATATAACTGTGCTGGATGAAAATGACAACGCCCCCCAGTTCAGCGAGAAGCGTTACGTGGCGCAGGTGCGCGAGGATGTGCGCCCCCACACGGTGGTACTGCGTGTCACAGCCACCGACAGGGACAAGGATGCTAATGGACTTGTGCACTACAACATCATCAGCGGCAATAGCCGTGGTCATTTTGCCATCGACAGCCTCACAGGAGAGATCCAGGTGGTGGCACCACTGGATTTTGAGGCAGAGCGAGAGTATGCCTTGAGAATCCGGGCTCAGGATGCAGGCCGGCCACCGCTCTCTAATAATACAGGCTTGGCCAGCATCCAAGTGGTGGACATCAATGACCATACTCCTATTTTTGTGAGCACACCCTTCCAGGTCTCTGTCCTGGAAAATGCTCCCCTTGGCCACTCCGTCATCCACATTCAGGCAGTAGATGCAGACCATGGGGAAAATGCCAGATTGGAGTACTCCCTGACTGGTGTGGCACCTGATACACCCTTTGTGATAAACAGTGCCACTGGTTGGGTCTCTGTCAGTGGTCCCCTGGACCGTGAGTCTGTGGAACATTACTTCTTTGGTGTAGAGGCTAGAGACCATGGCTCACCCCCACTCTCAGCCTCAGCCAGTGTCACAGTGACAGTGCTGGATGTTAATGACAATCGACCAGAATTCACAATGAAGGAATACCACCTACGACTGAATGAGGATGCGACTGTGGGCACCAGTGTGGTCAGCGTTACTGCTGTAGACCGCGATGCCAACAGTGCCATCAGCTACCAGATCACAGGTGGTAATACCCGGAATCGCTTTGCCATCAGCACCCAGGGGGGTGTGGGTCTCGTGACACTGGCTCTGCCTCTGGACTACAAACAGGAACGCTACTTCAAACTGGTGCTAACTGCATCTGACCGTGCCCTTCATGATCACTGCTATGTGCACATCAACATCACAGATGCCAACACTCACCGGCCTGTCTTTCAAAGTGCCCATTACTCAGTGAGTGTGAATGAGGACCGGCCAGTGGGTAGCACTGTGGTGGTGATCAGTGCCTCTGATGATGACGTGGGTGAAAATGCTCGTATCACCTATCTCCTGGAGGACAACCTGCCCCAGTTCCGCATTGATGCAGACTCAGGAGCCATTACCCTACAGGCCCCACTGGACTATGAAGACCAGGTGACCTACACATTGGCTATTACAGCTCGGGACAATGGCATCCCACAGAAGGCAGATACCACTTATGTGGAGGTAATGGTCAATGACGTAAATGATAATGCGCCACAGTTTGTTGCCTCTCACTACACAGGGCTGGTCTCTGAGGATGCCCCACCTTTCACCAGTGTCCTGCAGATCTCAGCCACTGACCGGGATGCTCATGCTAATGGCAGGGTCCAGTATACTTTCCAGAATGGGGAAGATGGGGATGGAGATTTCACCATTGAGCCTACCTCTGGTATTGTCCGAACAGTGAGGCGACTGGATCGGGAGGCAGTACCAGTGTATGAACTGACTGCTTATGCAGTGGACCGAGGTGTGCCCCCACTGCGCACTCCAGTGAGCATCCAGGTGACAGTGCAGGATGTAAATGACAATGCACCCATCTTCCCAGCTGAGGAGTTTGAGGTGCGAGTGAAGGAGAATAGCATTGTGGGCTCAGTGGTGGCTCAGATCACTGCCGTGGACCCTGATGAAGGCCCTAACGCCCATATAATGTACCAGATTGTGGAGGGGAACATCCCTGAGCTGTTCCAAATGGATATCTTCTCTGGAGAGTTGACAGCCCTCATTGACCTGGACTATGAGGCTCGCCAGGAATATGTAATTGTGGTACAGGCCACCTCTGCCACTTTGGTTAGTCGAGCCACTGTGCATGTCCGCTTGGTTGACCAGAATGACAACAGTCCTGTGCTCAACAACTTCCAGATCCTCTTCAACAACTATGTATCCAACCGATCAGACACCTTCCCCTCAGGCATCATTGGGCGCATCCCAGCTTATGACCCTGATGTCTCTGACCACCTCTTCTACTCATTTGAGAGAGGCAATGAATTGCAGCTGCTGGTGGTTAACCAGACAAGTGGGGAGCTTCGACTCAGCCGCAAGCTAGACAACAATCGCCCACTGGTGGCTTCCATGTTGGTGACAGTCACAGGTGAGGAGCCGGGGGCAGGCAAGTGACCTAGTAACTGAAACCTGTCAGGGCCTCAAGGATGCACTTCTTAGGGCAAACCAAAGAGGGTTTTCCAAATCTTCCAACAATTCCTTAAATGCTAGGCTTTGCACCTCACAAGAGCTTTGGACCTTACACTTTAGGTTCACATAGATGCTTAAGTTCTTGGGTAGTCTCCACAGGACCTTAGAAATTTCAGGGCATCTAGAAGACCCTGTAAAGAAGTAAAGAACTGTTTGCTGCCCTAAGAATAGCACTTTTTTCTCTGAAAGGCTAGCGGCCCTGGGTTGATGCTCTGGAGACTCCAGGAAAAGCTAGCTCATAACACATCCTGTGCAGATGAATAGTTACTTTGGGTTCACCCTGACCTTCATCCCATCTGTGCAGGAGAGGGAGACCAATGGAAACATCAACTTATTCTGGTAGCTTCAGGTAGAGAGCAGATGCACATATCCTGGCTGATCTCTAAGGGGCTGATCAGGATTCTGCCCTTTGGGAAAATTGACAGCAGTCTTCCTGCTTCTGTCCTCCCTCTAAAGCCCCAGGCTTTTACAAACCCTTCCCTAACAGGGTACAGGCAAGAGAGCCTCTTGCAGTGCTGCAGATCTGGGTCAGGAAACATTTTTTACTGGTGCTCATCTCCCAGTTTTAGAGCATAGATTCCCAGCATTGCAAGAGAAGGCACAGCCTTCAATTATCTCTCTGTTAACAACTAACCTTTAGGGACCACCCAATGTGTGCTGAAGTCGGGGCACATACATAGCAACTCATCCTCATTTCTTGGAATGGCCACTGAGATCACAGGATGACCCAGGTCTGTGGTGGTAGGCAGCTTGGTGACCCAGAAATGTAGATGGGATGGGAGTTAGGGTCTGAAACCCTCTTGCAGAGAGGAAGCTTACTGGCCCAGAGTTCTGAGGGATGGAGCTAAGTGGTGATAGGGCCAGGGTTCATTCTAGTGCCATGGAAAAGTAGTTTGCTGATCAGAAAAACAGGAGATGGGTGATTCCTGACCTGAAACCCTTCTTGTTTATGGGAATATTTTGTTGGTTCTGCAGTGCTGGGTCATGGGAGCAAATGGCTGGTCAGTAGTCCAGCCTCCTCTTTTTACCCTGAATGGAGGTGGCATGCTGACCATAATAATGTGGGGGAGGGCAGATCACTGACCACTTATGTGTTGGGGGACTTGCCTATCCTTGGGCATTTAGAGGAATTGGTTGCTTCCTGACCCAAGACACTCCTTGTGTTAGAGGGCGGTACAGCAACTTTTTGACACCCAGGCTGGGGATCTTGGACAGTCATTGGTCCCATCCTTCTTGTGTCCTGGGGAAGGGAGCCACTGACTCTAGACTAACCATCGCCTTACCCCTGGCCTGCAGATGGGCTACACAGTGTGACTGCACAGTGTGTGCTACGCGTGGTCATCATCACAGAGGAGTTGCTTGCCAATAGCCTGACGGTGCGCCTGGAGAACATGTGGCAGGAGCGCTTCCTGTCACCGCTGCTGGGCCACTTTCTGGAAGGTGTGGCCGCGGTACTTGCCACACCCACCGAGGACGTCTTCATCTTCAACATCCAGAATGATACCGATGTAGGGGGCACGGTGCTCAATGTGAGCTTCTCGGCGCTGGCCCCACGCGGGGCCGGGGCCAGCGCCGCTGGCCCCTGGTTCAGTTCTGAGGAGCTGCAGGAGCAGCTGTACGTGCGCCGTGCTGCGCTTGCCGCGCGCTCGCTTCTGGACGTGTTGCCCTTCGACGACAATGTGTGCCTGCGCGAACCCTGCGAGAACTACATGAAGTGTGTGTCTGTGCTGCGCTTTGACTCCTCTGCACCCTTCCTGGCCTCAGCCTCCACGCTTTTCCGACCCATCCAGCCCATCGCAGGCTTGCGCTGTCGCTGCCCGCCAGGTTTCACTGGAGACTTCTGCGAGACGGAGCTCGACCTCTGCTACTCCAACCCATGCCGCAATGGTGGTGCCTGCGCGAGGCGCGAGGGTGGCTACACTTGCGTCTGCCGCCCGCGCTTTACAGGTGAGCAGAGCGCCCTCAGACAGCGGGAGAACTACTCTGCAAGTCACTTTTGGGGGACAGGAGGTAGGGTGGGCACAGTTAGAGCAGAAGCCTAGAACCCCACCCAGAGACAATCTGGGCTCTGGGAGAAGCACAGGCCTTAGGGAGGCTGTTTGTGAAGGAGGCGTGACCACGGACAGGGGTGGGGCCGTGGGGGTGGGCTAGGGAGGGGCGGGACTGGGAAGAGAGGCAGGCCTGGCCAAATGGGGGCGTGCTTTCAGAGCTCGTGAACACAGTGCTGGCCTCGGACATGGCAGGGCTGCGGGAGCTGGGGTGGGTGTGGCGGTGACCATCTCTGATCATAGCTTGACCCTTAGGAGAAGACTGCGAGCTGGACACAGAGGCCGGACGCTGCGTGCCCGGTGTCTGCCGCAACGGGGGCACCTGTGCCAATGCGCCCGATGGCGGCTTCCGCTGTCAGTGCCCGGCGGGTGGGGCCTTCGAGGGCCCACGCTGCGAGGTGGCCGCACGCTCCTTCCCGCCCAGTTCTTTCGTCATGTTCCGCGGCCTGCGGCAGCGCTTCCACCTCACACTGTCCCTCTCGTAGGTGCCCACCCCATATCTCTATCCGCCTCCACTCACTCTGTCCCTGTGTACTTCACCCTGACTCAGATTCCTGATTGCTCCCCCCTGTCTTCCCACAGGACACCATGCCTGTGTGTCTCAGTGTCATTGCTCCTGAACTCATGCACTGGCCACACCTGTTGGTCCCACTCTCTCATCTGCTCTTCTTCCCAACCTGGGTGGGCTTCTTGTCAGCAGGGATGGTGGGTGTGAGGAGGTGTACAGCTGTTGACACACCGTGCCCACCCCACCCTGCCCCCAGGTTTGCAACAGTGCAGGCAAGTGGGCTCCTCTTCTACAACGGGCGCCTGAACGAGAAGCATGACTTCTTGGCCCTGGAGCTGGTTGCCGGGCAAGTGCGGCTCACGTATTCCACAGGTGGGTGTGTGGAGGCAGTGCTGCGTGTGTGGATGAGATGGCTGAGGGTGCGAGCCCCCAGTTTGCTCAGGTTTCCCTCACAGCACACCTGAACACACACCTTGTGCCAAAGAGACAAGAGTAAGGCCCTGACTCAGGCAGCCATTCCCTGTGGGAAAGTCTCTCTCGCCAAGAGGTGTGTGCTTCTCTCTCTGTCCAAAGTGCTCTAGTTCAGCCAGTATTGTCACCCGCGTGGGGGAGACCTGAGGCCCCAGGGTTAACCTGGCAGTAGCTGGGCCTGCATGACTGGGGTTGGGGAGAGAGCTGCAGGAGCAATTTAGCAATTCCGGACAACCCTCCACATGCATCCTCTCCACAGGTGAGTCTAACACAGTGGTCAGCCCCACAGTTCCAGGGGGCCTGAGTGATGGGCAGTGGCACACGGTGCATCTGAGATACTACAATAAGGTGGGTACCACTTTTTCATGGGAATATGGGGGGGAGCTGGGATGCCAGGTTCTGCCCCTCAGGGGTTATCTTGGGGATCCTGTTGAATTGTGTGTCTGGGTCTTTAGCCCCGGACAGATGCCCTGGGGGGAGCACAAGGCCCTTCCAAAGACAAGGTGGCTGTGCTGAGCGTGGATGACTGTGACGTGGCCGTGGCTCTGCAGTTTGGTGCTGAGATTGGCAACTACTCATGTGCAGCTGCTGGCATGCAAACAAGCTCCAAGAAGTGAGGCCCGCAGCCCTGGGTCCCCATGTCTTCACCTGCCCAAACCTACCCAACCCTTCACATCCCCATTCCGTACCCCAGCCTACCAAACTCCCTGACTTTCCTCAAACCACCAAATTTTCCTCTTCCTACTTGGACATTCCCACCTCACCCTACTCCCCGCCCCCCGAATTTGTCCCAGACTCACTGCTTCCCCACAGTCTCTAGGCACCCCATTTCCCAAAGTCTCCACTCCCCTTTCTCTCCAATGATGCATTTCCCTATTCTGCACCCTAGAGAAGTGAACCTACTCTTCACTTCTCCATCTGCTACCCCAGCTCTTCCACCTCACCCCAGACCATTTGCCCATCATTAGTTCTCCCTTGTACCCCACTACTAAAGTCCCAGCTCCTCCCTACCCTGACCTACCCCTCCCCCCTCAATCACCTACCTATTCCCATACTTCCTATAGCTCCAGGAGCAACCCCACTCTGGTCCCAGTCCCACCAGTGACCCAGACCCCTGACCTCCAGGTCCCTGGACCTGACGGGCCCTCTGCTCCTGGGGGGTGTGCCCAACCTCCCGGAGAACTTCCCCGTGTCCCACAAGGACTTCGTTGGCTGTATACGGGACCTGCACATTGATGGCCGCCGAATGGACATGGCGGCTTTCGTTGCAAACAATGGCACCACGGCAGGTAAGCCATGTCCCCATAGTAGGGAGATAGGGAGCTCAGCCCATCTCTGATGGCACAAACCATGCCACAGCCTAGCCTTTGGGGACCGGTTCCTACCTGCTGAGGATGTGGCTACATTTAGCCTCTGGGGACCCTCCATGCTGTCTAGCACTCACGCCTTCTCCCCACCATGTTCTCATATCCTCCTTCTTCTCTCAGGCTGCCAGGCCAAACTGCACTTTTGCGACTCAGGCCCCTGCAAGAACAGTGGTTTCTGTTCAGAGCGCTGGGGTGGCTTCAGCTGCGATTGCCCTGTGGGCTTCGGTGGCAAAGACTGTCGGCTCAGTGAGTGGGCAGCTCAGGGCAGGAGGGGCTTGCAGGGCAAGGTCTGTTCTAAGGTGGGGCTGTGACCCTGCTGCTTTTATCCACAGCCATGGCTCATCCCCACCATTTCCGTGGCAATGGCACACTGAGTTGGGACTTCGGAAATGACATGACTGTGTCTGTCCCATGGTACCTGGGGCTGGCTTTTCGGACTCGGGCAACACAGGGGGTCCTGATGCAAGTGAAGGCTGGGTCACACAGCACGCTTCTCTGTCAGGTATGTCTGGTGCCTCCCTTGACCCTCAGCTATCCGTCTCATTATGCCACCGGCGACATTCCTGTGGGTTCAGGCTGTGTCATATAGCATACTCTGGACTGTGGCCCTTGGCCCTCTTCCCACCATATCTTCTGCATAGTGGGGACCAGCACAGCTCTCCTGTGCTATCTGCACCAATCTATGTGATCTTGATCTCTGCCCTCAAACCTCACTGTCAGCACAATGTTTCCCTGGGCACAATGCCATATGTGCCAGATAGAGCTTTGCCTCCACTCTCGTGACCTCTGATATTTTTGATCTCTGAATCCCTGATCTTATCTGCTAACATGTCCAGCCCCATCCCAGTGGAGCTCCAGCCCCAGCGCAATCCCTCTCTACCTCTGTTCACAGTTGGATCGGGGGTTGCTGTCCGTGACGGTGACCAGGGGTTCAGGCCATGCTGCTCACCTCCTCCTCAATCAAGTTCCTGTCAATGATGGCCGGTGGCATGATCTGCGGCTGGAGTTGCAGGAGGAGCCAGGTGGCCGGCGGGGCCACCATGTTCTCATGGTTTCACTGGACTTTAGCCTCTTCCAGGTCTGACCTCTGGCCCTGGGGGCGCCCCTTCCCAGTCTTTCAACCATTTCCCACCTCTAGTCCAGCTCCTCAACTCCCTCTACTGCCCATAGTCTGGTATTCTCTTGATACCCTTGCTTTGAGCCCACCCTGCCAGCCAGGCTGGTCCACCATTAGGTCCTCCTCATGTCAGGAAGTACTTTATTTCTGGTCTGGTAGTGGTGCTTCTTTGCAAGCAGCATGTTGCCTGACTCCTGGAAGCCCCTTCTGGTTGGTGTCTCAATTTTCCCAGGTCAAAATCATGAAATTTCAGGGTCTCTTCTGGAGACCCAGGAGAGGATCTGCCTGCACCCAGCTCTAGACTGCAAACTTCCTCTCCTTGACCCCCCCATGTTCTAACAGGTCCTCCATATCCAGGGACGGCTCTTTCCCTGACCACTCTGCTGCTACAGAGGGGCAAAGCATGGTCATGCAGGGCTTGGCCAAGGCCAACACTGACTCTGGGGGAGGGGAGGGGTTCATCACCTCCCCTTGCTCCCAGTGCTGACTGTCTCCCTCCCCCAGGACACCATGGCAGTGGGGAACGAGCTTCCAGGCCTGAAGGTAAAGCGACTCCACGTGGGAGGCCTGCCTCCCAGCAGTGAAGAGGCTCCTCAGGGTCTGGTTGGTTGTATCCAGGTATGGCCAGCATGGGAATCTGATACGGAGCAGTGGGGTCAGAGGTCAGGGGTGCCTTAGGAGCTTAAAAATGGAGCTGGGTTTGGGGTGGAGGTGAGACCCAGAGCCATCAGATAAATCAAACCTTTGCTGTTGGAGGAGAGTCTGGTTTGGATCAGTGAGGGGCATTCGAGGTCTGTTCCCCATTATTAGGAGTCCCATGGGGACACGGGATCAAGGATAGGAGGTTCAGGATCAGAGGATTTGGGGGCAGTCTGAAGGATGCTGCGTGGCAAGGGTCATCAGACTGAATGGCTGGCTCTGTAGACCTCGGGGCTGAGGTGCTTTGACTTATCCCTTGCTGGCTGTATCAATAGGGGGTATGGCTCGGCTCTACACCTTCGGGGTCTCCAGCCCTACTGCCCCCCAGCCACCGAGTGAATGTGGAACCCGGCTGTGTTGTGACTAACGCCTGTGCATCTGGGCCCTGCCCGCCCCACGCTGACTGCCGAGACCTCTGGCAGACCTTTTCCTGTACCTGCTGGCCAGGTGGGGCCTGGGCGAGGGTGGCAGGGTGATCTGGGCAGGAGCCAGGGCCTGGAGGAGGTGGGGACTGAAGACAGGTGCCTGCTTTCTCCCATGCTTTATGTCCAGTGTCCTGAGCTCCCTGACCCAACCTGCAGGTTACTATGGCCCAGGCTGTGTGGATGCCTGCCTCTTGAATCCCTGTCAGAATCAGGGGTCTTGCCGCCATCTTCCAGGAGCACCCCATGGCTACATCTGTGACTGTGTAGGTGGCTATTTTGGGCACCACTGTGAACATAGGTAAGGGACTGGGGCTGAGACGATGGAAAGATGTTACAGGGGAGGTGGCGTGTCATTGAGAGTGGCATCTCACCGGGTTGTCTACCCTCAGGATGGACCAGCAATGCCCAAGGGGCTGGTGGGGAAGCCCAACCTGTGGCCCCTGCAACTGTGACATTCACAAGGGCTTTGACCCCAACTGCAACAAGACAAATGGGCAGTGTCACTGCAAGGTGCGCCCAGAATCTTACCCTGACCTTTTACCTCTTCCTTGGACATGATTTGTGATTCTTATCCAGCTTTTTGACTCAGGCCCTGAACTCTGACCCCATTTTGTGACCTTGCTGCCATCTCTTGTCCTTGACATGTTACCCATCCACATTTCACGGGATACTCAATCTTTCTCTGGCCAGTGAGCACTGTCCTCTTGACCCTGTTCCCGTGATTCCAGTCATTCCCCAAGCCCTGACCTCTGACCTCAGGCACCTGACCCGTTCTTAAACAGGAGTTCCACTACCGACCTCGGGGCAGCGACTCATGCCTGCCATGTGACTGCTACCCTGTGGGCTCCACCTCGCGTTCATGTGCACCCCGCAGCGGCCAGTGCCCCTGTCGCCCTGGAGCCCTTGGTCGCCAGTGCAACAGCTGTGACAGTCCTTTCGCAGAGGTGACAGCCAGCGGCTGCCGGGGTGAGCAGGTCCCACCTAGATCCATGTAGGGAGGGCTGGCTCTGTCATGCTGCCACCAAGCATCATGGCATGCTTGGCCTCTTGGGTACGGACTTGGGAGGCTTCTCCTAAAGAACAGCACTTACACCCAGGGACCCCCACATTTATGCTCAGTACTTTGATGGCCTGTTAAAGAATCTGACCAGCTTATATGAGACCAGCTTCTGTGAGACTGGGGGTGGGTGGGGGAGGGAAATAGATGTGGCTGTCCGTTGGCCCTGGGCACTTGGCTTAGTACCTCCTCTCCCTAGTACTCTATGATGCCTGCCCCAAGTCCCTGAGATCTGGCGTGTGGTGGCCCCAGACCAAGTTTGGCATCTTGGCCTCAGTGCCCTGTCCTCGTGGGGCCCTGGGTGAGTATCTAGGGGGCCGGTGCATTTCCAAGGTTGGGGGTGGGCCTTTCCTCTGACTGTTGGAGCCACTTTTTTCTCTGAGTTAGTGGCCTTGTTCCTGCAAAGAAGTGGGAGTAGAGTATGGGTCCACGTGGGCCCCTCACTACTGCCTAGGGATTCTGGGTCTCTTCCCACACTCTCATTGAGCCTCCATCTATTTCTCTTGGCTTCTGGGCAGGATTGCGGGGTGCAGGTAAGGGGTACGTGTTTGCTCAGGTGCGCTGCCCCCTCCCACTGCCAGAGCTTTTGCAAATCCCTCCTGCTGCTTGAGGTCCCTGCAGACCCCTTCCTGCTGCGTGAGCTCTCTAAATGCTATTGCAACTGCTTGAAGCCCCTTTAGACCCCTTTCTGCTTTTTGAGGACCCCAGAGACACTTCGATGCCTGAAGTCCTCAGAGACTTCTCCCCACTGCCTGAGGTCCTTCTATACTTCCTAAGATCCTTGCAGACCCCAGCTCACATTCTGAAATTGCTGAAGGTCTCTTACTGCTGCCTGAGGGCACAAGACTTCCCTTCTTTTTGTTTGAGGACCTACAGGTTCCCCACCTCCCACTGCCCAAGGTACCTGCAGAACCCTTCCCACTGCTTGAGGTCGCTGCAGTGGCTGGACAGACACTATGCGTGCATGCTTGTGTGTCTGTGTGCGCATGCATGCCTCTGTGAGTCAGTCCTGGGGGCTAGGGGCCTGTGTTTAAACATGTTGGGGTCCTTATTGCTAGTGGCCACAAATTTCCTCAAGGTTCAGGCCATTCCCATTCAACTGTCATCCTAGTCCCACAGACAGGGCGAGACAACAGCGAAGATACCACTGGTGCAGTTAAAGTCTGTGTGAGAACTCCTGCCCCACCTCCCTTTGGTCACAGAATTTTCCTGAAGACCTGGCCTGCGCTAGCGTGTCTGTATGCCTTTGTGCGTGTGAGAGGGAGTCCGCGTGTCCGTGTGCTTGTCCTGAGGCCCTTGTCTGTCTTTGTGCAGATGTGAGCACCGGCATGTGGCTTGCCTCAGACCAGGTCTGCGAACCTGTCCTGGCCCATGTGTGCGCGTGTGTGCACACACGTGTGCGCTTTCACCTGTGTGTGCTCGTGCATGTGTATGCGCTTGCGTAGACCTGCCCTTGTGCTCCTCCTCTAGACACTTGGTGGTTCACAATGGCCCAAGGACCCCTCAGGAGTTGACTGGCCGACAGCTGGGTTCTGCCTGGGCTGCGGCCACTCTGGCCAGGGGTCTAGGTGCACTTGCACACTACGATGGTCTTTGCTCCAGGTTCCCCGGGAAAGAGAGGGTGCTGTGGTCACCTTGTCAGCAAAGGTATGCGGGCCTCTGGCTTGACCATGATGTGTCCACCCCCAGGGGCTGCTGTACGACTGTGTGACGAGGACCACGGTTGGCTGGAGCCCGACCTCTTCAATTGTACCTCCCCTGCCTTTCGAGAACTTAATCTGCTGGTGAGACTGTGCAGACTTTGCCCTGCACCCAAGGCCTTCCCTGCCCCTGACCTCAGCTTTCCCAGGCCTGTGATGGGACCCAGACATCACACACCAGCCCTTGGCCTCCAGGCTTTTTCTGGTTGCCCTTTATTCTAGCCAAATCCTTCTTCCTCTGAGGCTTTGAAAAGGCCTAAGAGACCACACAGTGACACGCCCTCATCTTTGTCCTGGCAGCTGGATGGTCTAGAGCTGAACAAGACAGCACTAGACACAATAGAGGCCAAGAAGCTGGCTCAGAGGCTGCGGGAGGTGACTAGCCACACTGACCACTACTTTAGCCAAGATATCCGAGTCACTGCCCGCCTCCTGGCTCACCTGTTGGCCTTTGAGAGTCATCAGCAGGGCTTCGGGTTGACAGCCACACAGGACGCCCACTTCAACGAGGTGGGGCTGCTCCCTATGCTCCTGACCCCCAAGCCCTGGACTTCGCACTCTGGCCCCTCCCGACCTGGGGGGAGTGAAGGTCCTGGGATCTCCCTCTTCCCTTGCCCTCCTTCCCTCCCTGCTTGCCTGCTGGGGCCTCTCTGGCACCCTAACAGACCCCCAGACCTGCCCTGTCACTTTACATACCCTTGCCTGGCTAAGCTCACTTTCATCTCCCTCTTCCCAGAATCTGCTGTGGGCTGGTTCTGCCCTGCTTGCTCCAGAGACTGGGGACTTGTGGGCAGCACTGGGGCAGCGGGCCCTGGGTGACTCCCCAGGCAGCGCAGGCTTAGTGCAGCATCTGGAGGAATATGCAGCCACCCTCGCCAAGAACATGGAACTCACATACCTGAATCCTGTGGGGCTGGTGACACCCAATATCAGTGCGTGATAGGTGGGGTGGGTGGAACAGGGCTTGTGAAAGGACATGGGCCTGGAGGTCTGAGGGGCTGGGGCTATTGGTGCCAACATTAACGACAGGAGGCTGCCATTAATTGGTGCCACCACTGTCTGCCCTTTGCAAGTTCATGCCCTGTGCTGGTAGCAAGGGGGCAGCAGGTTGTGGGACCTGGTACAGAACGGGAGTAGGAGGGAGCGAGACCCTCGGCATAGGGAGGAGAGCTTGATGGGTCTCCCCCTTCTTTCTCCTGGGCAGTGCTCAGCATCGACCGTATGGAACACCCCAATCCAACCAGGGGGACCCGTCGCTACCCTCGTTACCACAGCAATCTTTTCCGGGGTCAGGATGCCTGGGATCCCCACACACACGTGCTGCTACCATCTCAGTACCCACAGCCATTCCCGCCTGAAGGTAAAAGCCCAATTTCCCTGTCCCTCCGCCCCAAGCCAGATGCCATCTGGTCCTCCTCAAGATCTCCCCCTTCTCTATGTTACCCTGTGTGTGAGACCCTCCCATGTCAGCCTTCTGCCCCACACGCTGACACACCCACCTCACCTTGCCCGGTGATCCTTCCAGGCTCCAGGCTGGGTGCTCATGCCCCCATGGTCCCACCTCCCAGTTCTGAACTACAGGGAAGAGTCCACACAGAGCTGGACTTGTGGGTGTTTGGGGTCAGATGTCACTGACAGTGGCTCTTCCCCCCTCTCCCCCCCCTCCCCCCGGCAGTTCTGTCCACAAGCAGCAGCAGCACAGAAAACTCCACCTTCTCAAGCCTGGCGCCCCCACTGGAGCCCGAGCCTGAGCCTGGTATCTCCGTGGTCATCCTCCTGGTTTATCGTACCTTGGGAGGACTGCTCCCCGCCCAGTTCCAGGCTGAGCGCCGGGGCGCCAGGTACCACGCATGGAGCTACCCTCTGTCCCCTCACTCCTGAGCTTCCTACAAGTCTCTGCTCAGCCTAGCACCCCCTTTTCTTGGTGGACAAGTGAGCAGGTTCACAGACATACTTGTGCTCTCCCCTCTCCATGCGGGGTCCGTGTGAACCATCTCGAGTTATGCAGAGTAGTACACAGACAGCGCTGCAGATGGGGCCATCACAGGTAGGAGAGCCACAGAGCCAGGTCCAGGCAAGGAAAGACAGGCCAGGTGGGGCTAGCAGGAATGGCAGACCGAGGTGCAGACTGGGGTTGCTCAGATTTCCTATTCAAGTGTGAGCAGTGGGCCTGAATCCCTTAGCTGTGGAGAACCTGTCATGACTGCAGAACCTGGACAGCTCAGGGAGGCCATGGACCCCTAATGTTGGGGTCCTCCCTGACCTTTAACAGCCATGGCAAATAGCATGGAGATAGGAGGAAGCAGGAGTCTGAGCTCACCAGCAGGGTTCAAGTTCAGGCGGGGTGTCTTCTCAGGCTTCCGCAGAACCCTGTTATGAACTCCCCGGTGGTCAGCGTGGCTGTCTTCCATGGGCGCAACTTCCTGAGCGGTGTCCTGGAGTCCCCGATCAGCCTTGAGTTCCGCCTGCTACAGACGGCCAATCGGAGCAAGGCGATCTGCGTGCAGTGGGACCCGCCTGGCGCGTGAGTACCTCTGCTCCGGAAACCCTTGGCCCCCCTTAGCCCCTGGGAGCCTGTCTGTTCCTGCTACTGCCCCACTCCCTGAGGAATGCTGCTGCTCAACTCCAAGCCCCCTCAGTCCCTCCCCACCTCTCCCAACCCAGTCCTAGCAATGGGCCCACCCCAGGGGCGTGTAGGTCTAACTGCCCTGTGGCCACAGGATGAACCAGCATGGCACATGGACGGCTCGGGACTGCGAACTGGTGCACAGGAACGGGTCCCATGCACGCTGTCGCTGCAGCAGAACAGGCACCTTTGGGGTCCTCATGGATGCTTCTCCCCGAGAGGTGGGGCTGTGCTGAGGATCCCGACAAAGTGGGAGGGTCAAAGGGCAGAGGGGCCAAACCTCGCAGTGACCATCTCTGCCCCACAGCGGCTGGAGGGCGACCTGGAGCTGCTGGCTGTGTTCACCCATGTGGCGGTGGCAGTGTCTGTGGCCGCGCTGCTGCTGACCGCGGCTGTCCTGCTCAGCCTGCGCAGCCTCAAGTCCAACATGCGCGGGATACACGCCAATGTGGCAGCCGCCCTGGGGGTCGCGGAGCTCCTCTTCCTGCTGGGCATCCACAGGACCCACAACCAGGTGCAGGGTCAGGGCTGGGGTGCCTGTGTCCTGATGGCCTCATTTGGCCTGGGCAGACCTGGGGCCAAAGCGCAGCCTCAGGTCAGGGATGTTCAGTTTGGGGCCGGGTGCTGGGCTGAGGTGCTGCGCTTCAGGGGCAGGGTTGGGCAGCGCTGTCTGGGGTGGGTGTCAGAGGTGGGGCAGGGCAGCAGGGCTCCTGACTCCCCCTCCCTGTCTTCAGCTGGTGTGCACTGCGGTGGCCATTCTCCTGCACTACTTCTTCCTCTGCACCTTCGCATGGCTCCTCGTGCAGGGGCTGCACCTCTACCGCATGCAGGTGGAACCCCGCAACGTGGACCGCGGTGCCATGCGCTTCTACCACGCTCTGGGCTGGGGCGTGCCTGCTGTGCTGCTGGGTGAGGGCCCTGCCCACTGGCTCCTTCAGGCCTGTGACCTGCCCCTGCCCTCACCATCCACCATATAACCTGACCTCTGTCCCTGCCTCTGCCCCAGTCCTAATGATAACCCCCAGTCTCAACGCCGGGGCCAGGGCTCAGGGAGTGACCTGCTCTGCCCTCAAGCCCAGCTTCTCCCCCTATGTGAGAGGGTCAGCCGCTCTACAGACACCTCCTACCCACCCCCCAGGCCTTGCTGTCGGGCTGGATCCTGAGGGCTATGGGAACCCTGACTTCTGCTGGATCTCGGTCCACGAACCCCTCATCTGGAGCTTTGCAGGCCCTGTAGTCCTTGTCATCTTGGTGAGTGTCCTGCACTCAGTGCCACTTGGGGACAGGGTGGCAGTGTCAGCTGAAAGCTGCCAGGTTATAGCCTGCCAGTCTGTTTCTTTTATTTGCTTTCACCAATTTATTTTATTTATACATAAAAGAACAGGGGTGCAGGCCAGAGGGGGGGGTGAGCAGATTCACCAGAGACAGAGTGGGGAGCAGAAGAGGTGGGCTGATGAAATGAGGGGAGCAGCAGGTGGGTCAGGAGAGGTCTGCTGTGCCCGATGTGGGTCAGCTCCCTGGCCAGGGATGGAACTCGTGCTACAGTGGCTGCAGAGAGCTTGGTAGCGCTGTGGCTTAACCTGCATCACCAGGGAGGCCATAGCCTCAGTTTCTGTTCTCTGGCCACTGAGTGACCGCAACTACTCAACCACGACAGAGATGGGAGGAAGGCATGGGGTTAGAGACTCAGCTGCCTCTCTACCTCTGTGTTCTTCTCCATCTCTCTGGTTCTCTGCCTTTTTCTATGGTCCGTCTTTGACTCTGATCTCCGCATGTGTGCATGTGCTCATGCTTGTGTTCTCATCGGTGCTGCCTCTCTGTGGGTCTGTCTCTTACTATCTCCGTCTCTCTCTGCCCTGTGTCTGTTCCACATGTCCGGCTGTGGGTCCAGATGAATGGGACCATGTTTCTCCTCGCTGCCCGCATTTCCTGCTCCACTGGGCAGAGGGAGGCGAAGAAGACCTCTGTGCTGTGAGTTGGCTGTCTCAGGGGGAAGAAGGATTCACAGGATGGCAGCCCCTTCCTAAGTGGGGCTAGGGTCCTGGGAGCATCTGTCATGCAGGCTGGGTGAAGTGCCCTCCACCTGGCTTGAGGTCCCTCTCTGGTGCCTTCACCATACTCTGGTCTCACATATGCTTCCTCCCTGCTGTTTCTCATTGTCCCCTGGGTTCCCCAAGAGCCTCCTATGGCGGGGTGGCTCAATTTGCCCCCTGCCCATGTGTTCCCACTTATCTTTCATGTTTTCTACCCATGTCTCCTCATGGCTCCCTGAGCACTCTCCTGGTTCCTTCTGTGACCTCCCGTCTCCCCACTTCATATGCCTTCATGTCCCCTATGTTCTCCCGTGTCCCCTGTATGAGCCCGCATGACCCTTCCATGTTCCGCAGCAGGACCCTTCGCAGCTCCTTCCTGCTCCTGCTGCTGGTCAGTGCCTCTTGGCTCTTTGGCCTCCTGGCAGTCAACCACAGCATCCTGGCCTTCCACTACCTCCATGCTGGACTCAGTGGGCTCCAGGTAACTCCAGTGCCCTCCCACACCTGGGCCCCGATGGCGCTGCCACCGAGGGGGTCCAACCCTGGGCAGGGTGTGGGCTCCAGACCCAGTTCTTCTGGATGACTGATGCCAAACTGTGCTCAAACCGGATCCATCTCCACCAGCTCAGAGGCTCCTGGCCACTTGCTGGTCCATGCAGCTCTGTACTAACTCTGCTGCTCACACCACTCTTACCTCTCAGTGCCTCTACTGATTTTCCTTGTCACCCTCACTGGGGTCCCTGGGGCTTCTCGCTGTCTCTAGCTAACATGTGATGACTGACCAATCCCCACCCCTATAAAAGCCCTCACTGACCCTGACTGACCCTTCGGTGATCCAACTCTGATCTTCTCTGACTCATTTCTAATCTCTCCCTGACCTCCAGGGCCTGGCGGTGCTGCTGTTCTTCTGCATCCTGAATGCAGATGCTCGGGCGGCCTGGACACCAACCTGTCTAGGCAGGAAGGCTGCGCCTGAGGAGACCAGGCCAGCACCTGGGACGGTGAGGGGCCCTCGGGGCTTGGCCATCAATTGGGGGCCTCAGTGGCCAGTTTGCATTCTCCAGGGTTCGCACTCTGGCTCACACTGTGGTCTCCCTTACACTCCCCAGGGCCCTGGTGCTTACAACAACACGGCCCTCTTTGAGGAGAGTGGCCTCATCCGAATCACTCTTGGTGCCTCCACTGTATCCTCAGTGAGCAGTGCCCGCTCTGGCCGGACCCAGGACCAAGACAGCCAGCGGGGCCGCGGCTACCTCAGGTGAGTAGAGGGTCCTCCCATGAGGGGGACACACTGCTCAGACCAGCCTCACTTCACCAGACGTTAGCATTACCAGGTTTTTGGGTGGCGGCCCCACTGGTCTTGGTCATCTGGGCCTCTGCTGCTGGCCTCTTGCTCTACACCCTCACAGTCATTCCACATGCAACTGGCTGTGCTCTAAAGCACCCCACCCAATCCCATTTTGACTGGTGGGGCTTCCTTTTCTAGGGACAATGTCCTGGTTCGACATGGTTCAACTGCCGACCACACTGACCACAGCCTCCAGGCTCATGCCGGCCCCACTGACCTGGATGTGGCCATGTTCCATCGAGATGCTGGTGGAGGTGGGGACCGGGACCAGGGAAGAGGGCAACAGAAGCTCTCTACTCTGCTCCCCTTCCTTCTACCCCAAACTGGGGGAGTGGCTGACTGGGGAGAGCCACTCACCCCACCCCATGTCCCTGCCCCAGGAGGCACCTAGCCACCTAACCCGGTTCTCCCGATCATTCCCGTCCCAGCCCGTCCCAGCCTGTCCTTTGTACCCTTTCCCCAGGGCCTTAGCCCCAGTTCCCCTGCTATAGCCCCCCCAAGGCCCTCAGCTCCAGGCTCTCTCCTTACTCCCCAAGTCCATGCCTCCCCGAGCCACTGCTACGGCTGCCTTTCCCGACTCCAGGTGCAGACTCTGACTCTGACAGTGACCTGTCCTTGGAGGAGGAGGAGAAAAGTCTGTCCATCCCATCTTCAGAAAGTGAGGATAACGGCCGGACGCGAGGACGTTTCCAGCGTCCCCTTCACCGGGCAGCCCAGAGTGAGAGGCTCCTCACCCACCCCAAAGGTGAGGGGGTCCACACTCCCCTTGGGTATGACCCAGGGACCCTGCTATCCCCCAGGGATTCCCAGGACAACCTATTGGGAACTTGGGGTCATTTCTGGGGCCCCTGTACCCCTTCCCCCATCCAGCCTCCTAGCAGTATTCTGCCAGCTAGGAATAGGCTGGGCCACAGAATAACAAAGTCGGGGGTGTTGCAGAGTTATAGGGATATATAGAGTGAGTTATCCCTCCCTCAAGTTCTCTGAGGACTGGGGTTAAACTGGTCTTCCTGACACCTCAGCTATCAGGTTCTGCCACCCCATTCTCTGGCCACTTCTAGTCAGGAGCGAGAGCTATCGGTAAACCCACCTGCCTGCATGGGTCGCTGAGCCCTAAAAGACATACTTAGCTCAGTGAGCATAGTGACAGGTTGAGTCATTATAGTTTGGATCACCGGGGCCATGAGTCACTAGATCAACCCAGAGACTCCTATAACCTACCCTGGCTCCACAGATGTGGATGGCAATGACCTCCTGTCCTACTGGCCAGCCTTAGGGGAATGCGAGGCAGCTCCCTGTGCTCTGCAGACCTGGGGCTCCGAAAGGCGCCTGGGGCTGGACACCAGCAAGGACGCAGCCAACAACAACCAGCCAGATCTGGCTCTGACCAGTGGAGATGAGACCTCCCTGGGTCGGACCCAGCGCCAGAGGAAAGGTAAAATCCCTGACTTTGGCCTGGCCTTCAGGGACCCTGGAGAAGACCCATGCCCTGACCAGGAGATCTCATCCTCCTAATCCCAAGTTCACAGGTTCCCAAGTACACAGGGAGCCTGAGAACTCCTCTTGCTCTGATCTTGGGGTTTTTGCTCTTCTACCCTGCTTCTTTGGCCCCCAGGACTGCTCCACCTGACCTGAGAATGTCCTGCCTCTCATACTCTGCCTATACCTCAGAGACTCTAGCAGCCACCCCCACCTAGGGGATTCCTCCCTCCCCTGAGCTCCAGTCTGCTTACCAGGGACCCTAGGAACTGTGCCCCAGAATTCTTCTAACCTAAATGGTTTTGCCCTCTACCCTGCTTTATCTTCACCCCAGAAGTTGTCTCTGTCTTCACTCTACATCACAGGGTTCCTAGAGACTGCAACTGCCCAACCCCAACCCAGGGGCTTCCTGGCGTTTTGACAGTGACCTTTGTACGAAGCTCTGGGGGTGTCCCCTCCCCTGGCCTCAGGGGAAGGTTTATCTCTAACCCTCTACCACAAGGACTCCTAACCTGAGAATTACTGTCTCTACTCAGACCCTGCCCTGCTGCCTCTTGGAAATTCCCAGGGGTTGCCTCCGCCCCTCCCCTAGGAGTTTCTGTCCCCAGCTCTGTCACAAGGATCCCAGGAGCTCCCATATCCCCAGGCCCACAGGGTTCCTGTCCTGCCCCCCACACATGTATGTACCCTGTCTCCCATTTGTTCCACAGGCATTCTGAAGAACCGGTTACAGTACCCACTGGTGCCACAGCCACGAGGCACCCCTGAGTTGTCCTGGTGCCGTGCGGCCACCTTGGGCCACCGTGCTGTGCCAGCTGCCTCCTATGGTCGCATCTATGCCGGAGGGGGCACAGGCAGCCTTTCTCAGCCTGCCAGCCGCTACTCTTCCCGAGAACAACTGGACCTGCTCCTCCGGCGGCAGCTCAGTCGTGAGCGACTGGAGGAGGCCCCTGCCCCAGCTCTGCGTCCCCTGAGTCGACCGGGTTCTCAGGAGCGCCTGGATGCTGTGCCAGGCCACCTGGCGCCCAGGGGTCGGGGCAGCACCCTGCCGCGGAGGCAGCCGCCCAGGGGCCACCCTGGGGCCACGGCTGGCCGGTTCAGATCCCGGGATGCATTGGACCTAGGGGCACCCTGCGAGTGGTTGAGCACACTGCCCCCACCCCACAGTGCCCGGGACGTTGACCCACAACCCCCACCTCTACCCCTGTCTCCCCAGAGGCAACTCTCAAGGGACCCCCTTTTGCCATCCCGGCCCCTGGACTCCCTGTCCAGGAAATGGAACTCAGGGGAGCGACTAGACCATGTACCTAGCCGGCACCCTTCACGAGAAGGCCTCGGGCCATCCCCACAGCTGCTCCTTGCGAGGGGGGACCCAGCCAGTGGCCCTAGCCACGGCCCCTCCACAGAGCAACTGGACATTCTCTCCTCTATCCTCGCCTCCTTCAACTCCTCGGCTCTCTCCTCCTCTGTGCAGTCCTCAAGCACGCCCTCTGGCCCTCACACCACTGCCACGCCTTCTGCCACAGCCTCTGCACTTGGTCCTTCCACACCGCGCTCTGCCACATCCCACAGTATCTCGGAGCTGTCACCAGACTCAGAGTAAGCAGGGGCCCCGCCACCTGCTCACACCTTCATTGGTTTTGGCCAGCCTCCTCTGCACCCTGCCTAGCGTTCTGCCAGGGCAAGGGGGTTGGCACAGAGGTGTGGCCTCAGGCTCAGTCAGGGGACCACAGGCTGGAAGCAGAAATGACCGGGAATGGGAGTGGGATTAGCTAGCAGGGACTTGCCAGCTATGTGAGCAGGCAGCCTCCCTCCCACCCCTTCTTGCGCTAAAGAGGACAGATGGATGTTTTCTACTGGGCTTGAGCTCATCCAGGGGGCCAGGGCAGGAGCCGAGGCCTGTATGTGCCATGAGGCAGGGAGAAAAGGAGGGGTCTGCTTGGGAGGCTTTATTAAGGGGGCAAGAAGGAGTAAGAGTGGGACAGAAGTAGTTCCAGGATATCAGTGCCTTATACGCCAGCCTAAAAAGCAAAGTTTGAGGGTAAATCATTCAGCCAGTATCAAGTTCCTACTGTCTGTGGCACTGTGGGCGACCTCGGGCATGCCTGTGCGCATCTGTGCTTAGGACACACAGGAGTTTGGGGGAGGGTGAGAGCGGGGGAACGGGAACCAGGAGTTACTAGACCTGAAAACCAAAGGAAAGTTGAGTTGTAAGAAAGCAAAATAGCTAGGTCAGGCTCTTTGGAGGCCTTTAGAGTGAGCAAGGTCTTGGGAGGAAGGGCGTCTCAGCAGTGGGGTAGGAGACCTAAAGAACTTGAGGAGAGTTTGGGGAGGACAGAGAAAGGACAGAAGGGCAGGAGATTTGGGGACCTAGTGCCAGGGCTGGAAAGGGTGATAGAGGAGGGATGAGAGGGAGTTGGAAGTACCCTCTCGTCCTCCTGCAGCCTACCTTTGGGGTCTGGCTGTTGGGGGGGTGGTTTGGGCAGGGGTCCAAACTCTGGGTCACTCTTGAGCTCTCTAAGCCTCAGTTTCCTCATCTATAAAATGTGTCAAAAGAAATTCTGAGATGCAGATTTTTGAGAGAAAAATCCGTCAAGTTCTTAACAGCATCTACATGGCAGGGGCTTGCTAAGTGCTCAGAGAAAGCACTGAGGCCTTTTAATGACCTGGGGGAGGGGGAGGGAGTGTCCAGCATCAGTAAGGGACTCTGAGAACTCTGGGATGGGGAGCAGGGGACTAGGGCAAAAGTGAAGGAGGAGTGTGCCAGGGCTGATCCGCAGGATTCAGAGGCCTCTTAGTAACCACCATCTTTGATCTCAAATTCAACTCCACAGAGTTCCCAGAAGTGAGGGTCACTCCTGAGAGACAGACATGGACGGGGAGCAGCCGAGGGCAATGGAGGATTTGGGCAAACAGAAGAGACTCCAGGAGTCAGGGGCTGATCCCTGGGCAGCCTCTTCTCATCCCCAGCTCTCCCTGTTGCTGCAGCGCTGAGGTTCCATGCTTGTCTGTGAGCATGTGAGCATGTGTGAGGCAGGTACAGGGCAGGCAACTGAGGGGAGGACTTTTATACCTTTTGTACCTTTGTAACCAGAGAGATATGCTTATGTTATTTTTCAGCTTTTCTGTCTCCCGGGGTTCTGAGGCTGGGCTGGGAGGGGGAGGGGAACAGAGGGAGAAAGATGCAGTTTGGCCCCATTTGGGTCCTTGGCAAACGGTATATTTTTTCTCACATCACACTGGGGTGGATCAGAGGAGGGGCAAATCCCTCCACACCCCCGCCACTGGCCTGAATATTGTCAGGACCCAACGTGCAGAATTGATCTTTGCTTATTCGTAGATGCCCCAGGGCCAAACTTTTGGGGCTGGGCATTGGTCTTGGAAACAGGGCTCCTCTGACCACCTCTCAGGGGCTCGCTCATGCCACCCCTCCCCGTGGATGTGGATGTTTATCACGTGGAGTCCCTGCCACTTACTGCCTTATAACCTAGGACTGATGCTGTGGGTGCTGGCGGAGCAGCAGATGTCATGTTTACAGAGCAAGGCTTCCCTTTCTCCCACGGGGAGGGGTGTAGGCCTCTATTCAGACATTCCTGCCACAGTAGATGAAGGGATCACTTGGCATCCCTGGCCCTGTGGTGAGCAGAAGTTGTCTGTGGTGCCATTTGATTCCTTGACATTGCCCCTTGCAGAGCTTATTCTGAAGGGTAGGGTAGGAAGGTGAGCAAAGGAAGCAGAAAGAAGGGAATTAAAGACACAGAATGTAGGTGCCACCGCCTCCCGTGTTTACAGGAACCTCCTCCCCAGCCCTGGGCACCTGGGCTGTAGGAAGTAACTCACTCCCACCCTACTTTACTCCCTTCTGAAGGGAAAAGTGACTGTTAGGACCCTGTTCACAAAACTCTCACTTTTATTACTTTGTCTGATGTCCAGAACTGGGGACTTTTGTGTTACTTTGTTTACAAGTCAAGATTTAAGCATTTTAAAACTTTGTTTACAATTTAGAACTTTTATACTTTGTTTACAGTTAAGAATGTTTTTTCTCCTTTGTTTACTAGCGAAATATAAAGTGGGAGAGGGGCTTGGAAACCCACCTGTGAGAACCGGGGACCTGGTCACCTTGAGTGGGTTTTTAACCCCTAGCTCTCCTAGGCCAAAGGTCAGCGCTGAGTCCCTGTGAACAGCACACCCAGAAGGCCTTGAGAGTAGACACCCTCTTACTACTGGGAACAGTGGATGTGCAGGGTTGTATGTGTGTGTGTGTGTGCATTGGGGAGGGGGGTTTATGCAGCCACCTCCCTCCTGTCGTACTCTTGGGAGGCAGTTTCCAAGGAGATTAAAAATTCTACTTGTCTGACTGGTGCCAAATCCCACCAGCCAGGACCCCAGCTCTACTTACCCACATGACCCCAACCCTTGAAGGTTTGAGGATCTGTGTGGGAAGAGGGGGTTGTCCTTGCTATGTCCTAGGTTCTATAGATGTTCTCTCTGGGGGTCTCCCCCCTCCAGCCTAGTGGCCCCTTTACCTGTCTGTGTAAATTGTTCCGTGAAGCCGCGCTCTGTTTTGGGAATAAACTTCTATAGAAAATGGTTATTGTTTAATTCTGTTTGGGGTAGGGGCTGGTGTAGGTTGGTGGCTGTGGGTATTTAGGCCAGACTGACATTTGGGAGAAATTTGAGCTCTTCCCCTTAACCCCAAGAATATTCAGTTATTTTTAACCTGTTTCTTTGGGATATTTGGAACAAGTTCCCATCTCTTTCCCCCTGAATTCTGACCCTTTCCCTTGTGATTGGGAATTGAAATATGAGCACAGGTACTGAGAGAACCCAGCCCCCACCCTGGTTAAAGTAGAGACTTCCTAAGTCTTCAATGAACCCTGACCTCATTTTCCCAGACCAGGGGTCAAACCCGGCCTAGAAACCATCCCTGCTAACCCCTCACCCCCGGTGAGCACCAACTCCTACCAGCCTCACTGGAGCTGGCAGGGACACCTCCTACCTATGCAGTCTGGGGGAGAAACTTTTGGGGCCCTGCGTAGTGGGGAGAGGCAGCTCTGCTTAATTTCAGGCTTGGGTGTCCAGAGTTGAAGACAGGCATTAGGGACCTTCAGCGCAAGGTCATGGGACATGCTTGCTCTCTGGAAAACCTGAGGGTAGTGCCCTCAGTTAGATGCATGAGCAGTTCTAAAGACTCAGGATACCCCCCACCAAGTTAACCCAGGTTGCCATCAAGACCCCAGGCACCCTGCCTCCTGGGGGTTTCCTCTCTCTGCAAGAAGCCGAAGCATGAGATCAGCTCCATCCTACTCAGAGGACTGAGGCGCGGCTAAGGCCAGCCCCAAGAGGGTCCGAGGTCTGAGTTGTGCAGGTACACCAGACTCAAGGAGGACTGACGCCAGTCACTGGCTACAACAGGCGTCAGGGGAGGAAAGAGTTACCGCTTCCTCCTGGGGTTCGCCCCGCCCAAAGAGAACACTTAGGCCCCATCCGTTCGTGCTGACTCGCCCAAGCCTTACCCGTCCTGCCTGGGGATTGGCCCTGGAGAGCACGCTCAGACCCGCTTCTTTCCCTAGCCCCGCCTTCCGGCCCGTCGCGGCCTCCGCGGGTGACTTAGGAGTGACCGCCGCCGCGGGGCAGCGGGCCGCCATGGGGCTCTCGGAAGCATCCGAGTAAGAGCAGAGCTTGGCTCGGGTTCCCCACGTCCGCGTGCGCGTCCGCTTGCGCGTCCGCGAGGCTCGGGCTACCCGGAGACGCCTGGCTTGGGTTAGCTCGAAAAGGAGGGGTGCCGCCAAGTTCAGAGCAACGTCTCGCTTTTTACCGCTTTGCGGGTTTTCTGCGGGCGGCTGCTCCACTGCAGCGTGGGATGGGGGAGGTCGCCGTCTCCGAGGGGCAGAGCGAAAAGCCGCTGGAGCGCTGCCGGAGGTTTAGCCGAGGTCGCAGGGAAGCGGCTCTGCGCGGAGGAGCCCTGATCACGTAGGTGCACGGGTGGGGCGCATTGGGGCCGAGAGGTCGCTGCAAGACGCTCCATAGCGAAGGCCTGAGTGTGCCCAGCGGTACAACTGAAGCGGGAATGCGCGCTCCAGCCTCTGGTCCTGGGGCCTGCCCAAAGGGAGAGGCGGGCAGTCAGGGCTCCGCCCTCAGAGCACGTGGCCTGCGAGGGGAGCGGGGTAGGAGCCCTTTAAGAAGGTCCTGAGTGACTCAAGGAGGAGGGGCAAGGCCTCAAAGGTCTCGTAGCTGCGGAGATGCCAGGAGTCTCTGAGGATCTTCCTTGCATCCAGTCCACTCCCTCCTCCAACGGGGACATCCAGGTTAGAGACCTTTCTCAGGTGAGTTTCAGCCTTTCGGGATAGACCCTCCCGCCGGTCAGAGCTCTGAATTGTCCTGGTGAAAACTTCCCTTGTTGGGGAGTGCTTGTCCCAGGTAAGCTCTCAGCCTCTCTAAGAGTATCCCCAGGTTCCCAGGTACAGAGCTTTCTTCTGTCCTAGGTGGGGACCACCCCCAGGGCAGAACTTTCCTTAGGTGAGAGTACCCTCTAGCTTCTCCCAGACCAGAACTTTCCTGGCTGGTGAAAACTTTCCCAGCAGGTGACTGCTTCTCTTCAAGTGAGAGCTCTACCTCAGACCTCTATTCCCAGGCGAGAGTCTCTGGGCAATTGAGAGATACCCTCTAGGTCAGAACTCGGCTGTGAAACTTTCTTGTCAGGTGGGAGTTTCCCCCAAATGAGACCCCTGCCTCCATCTATTCCTAGGTAAAAAATCCCCCCACTTCAGCTGAAGCTTCCATTTCCAGGGAGAAACCGCTCCCTCCAGATGAGACCTCTTTTCTCCCCAAGTGAGAGCTAGTCCCTGAAGTTCCAAGATTAGGTCTGAGCTTGTCAACAGCCTGAACCACAAGGGGCATTCTTTGCCCCAACATTTTTCTTCCCATAAACAGGAAGATCTCATCTGAAGAGGGGCTTGCCTGAAGAAATGAACCCCTGGCTTGCTGGATCCCCTCCTTGACTGTAATCTCAGGGCAGCTGAATCAGGACTCAGGACAGATATTACTGAGAGCAAGAGACTGGAAGGAGGGGCTTGGGAAGGACAGTCACCCTGAGTCCTGGACTGACAGAACACTTAGGGCGGGGCAGCCATACCTCAGCTAAAAGTGTGACTTATGCTCATCCTGCTGTCTCTTGCTGGGACTTTAGCCCAGCAAAAGGCTTCTACCAGTCAAAGTTCAGGTAACTGCCCTTGTCTGGGTGTGAGACCTACGGCAGCAGACTGGGGGCTGGATCTATCTAGATCTTGAGGTCCAGAAAATTCAGGTGGGTGATTGGTCTCAGGTTGAGGTGTGGGGGAACTTGGCCAGGGATGCCCTCACTGTGTCTTTGTGGTTGCCTCACCCCAGACCGAGGGACACATAAGCCCTGCTGTCCACAACGCAGGCAATGGAACTGAAGAAGCGAGAATACCACATAGAGCGGCCTCTGCTGAACCAGGAACAGCTGGAGGAGCTGGGGCACTGGGGCTCAGTGACAGACACCTACCAGTGGCGAACCTGGTTCCAGTAAGGAATGGGAGGGTAGGGGCCCTGGAGGCCTTTAGTAGGCCCTGTACCTGACACTTTATGTCTCCAGGTGTTCTCGTGCTCGAGCCAAAGCCCTTCTGCTCCAGCACTTCCCAGTTTTGGCCTGGCTACCCCGGTATCCTGTGCGTGACTGGCTTCTCGGTGACCTTTTGTCAGGCCTCAGTGTGGCAATTATGCAGTTACCACAGGGTGAGCTACCTCTGACCAAGAGACTTCACCCCTAAGGTGAAGACCCTCACCTTTCAAGGCCCTGGCCTGAAAGCCTGTGGTCTGTGACACCCAACCCTGAAGCCATGCCCTCTGTTCCTAAGACCATGGCCTTAGGGCTGGGATTCCCTCATCCTTTCACCGTCCTGCCTCCAAAGCTACAGTGCTACCTTTCTGCCTCCAGGTCTGGCCTATGCCCTGCTGGCTGGACTCCCCCCTGTGTTTGGCCTCTACAGCTCCTTCTACCCTGTCTTTATCTATTTCCTGTTTGGTACTTCCCGGCACATCTCTGTGGGTGAGTGAATGAAGCCCCGCCTTGTAAGAGGATGCCTGCATCCTCCATGGAGGACAGGGTGAGGGGGCTGCTGAGTAGAACAAATATCTTCAGGGTATGCTGTGCTATGATTTGATGGGAGACTGGTCCGTGGGTTATTTCAGGTAGTATTAGGCCTCTGATCGTGAGGCCACAGATTCAGGGTCCCTAGAAGTCCTGGCTCTGGCTCTACGAGGATGAGGGTGGGTGAGGCAACTCAGTAGGCCCAGAGCTTGGTAGAAGCGGTCCCATCCTGAGGCAGACCACACTCTCTTTCATACTTACCTTCTCAGAGGAAGTAACCCTAAGCCAGTGGGCATAGATAGGGCAGGGCAGGTGATGCGGGACCAACATTTCTTGCCTCCAGAGCCTTTGAGCTCAAGGTTCATACCTAACTGCCAGCACTGCCTCTATTTGTATAGCATACCCTGAGCATATTTGTCTAGAACTGGGTATCTCCTGGTCTCTCCCTTAAGACCAGAGCTCCAGGCCAGAGCCTCTCTCCCCTTCAGACCTGCCTTATCCGTGCAGGAACCTTTGCTGTCATGTCCGTGATGGTGGGAAGTGTGACTGAATCCCTGGCTCCTGATGAGTACTTCCTGGAGCCCGTGAACTCCACGGTTAATGAGACAGCCAGAGATTATACTCGGGTCCAGCTGGCCTCCACACTCAGTGTCCTGGTTGGCCTCTTCCAGGTATGTGCCCCTCACACCAACGTTGCCCACCCTACCCCCTTCACCCCCTCTGCCAGTCCCCCTGAGTGTCTGACCGTCTTCCTCTTGCTGTTCACTCATCTCCCTCTGCTCTTACCTGCCCTGGGCTCTACTCCAGCTATCCGAGGACATCTCCTCCCCTGACTTCCCCTGGTTACCCTACAGGTGGGACTGGGCCTGGTCCACTTTGGCTTTGTCGTCACCTATCTGTCAGAGCCCCTGGTCCGTGGCTATACCACAGCTGCGTCTGTGCAGGTCTTAGTCTCGCAGCTCAAGTACGTGTTCGGCATACATGTGAACAGCCGTTCTGGGCCACTGTCCCTCATCTATGTGAGTGAGGATGGGAGGATGGGTGGGTGGGAGAAGGGTATACCTGTGACCTTGAGTGCTGGCTGTGACGCCACCTCCCCTCAGACAGTGCTGGAGGTCTGCTGGAAGCTGCCTGACACCGTGCCCGGCACTGTGATCACCTCTGCTGTGTCTGGGGTGGTGCTTGTGCTGGTGAAACTGTTGAATGACAAGCTGCAGCGATATCTGCCCATGCCAATCCCTGGGGAGCTGCTCACGGTTCGGATTCTGAGGGAGCAGGGGAAAAGGGCAAATGAGGCTATATCCCTGCTGTGGGGGCATCCCCCACATTTGAGGGCTAATGAGTGGGCACTGGTGAGAGTTTCTGGGGGTTGGGAGGAGCACAGCAAAATATCCTCATGTTGGTACCTTCTTGCCTCTAAGAAAAACATCTCGCCTTTTCCAAAATGATGGTGTCTGTCTCTTACCCTCCCAAAGGACTATCTCCACCCCTCCTGACTCAGTCCTCTTCTTCCAGCTCATTGGGGCCACAGGCATCTCCTACGGTGTGGACCTGAAGAACAGATTTAGGGTGGATGTCGTGGGCACCATCCCTGCAGGGTGAGCTCCAGCTCCTGTCAGATCAGGGAGGGTTGGGTAGCAAAGTCAGTGCTTCCTTTGGCCTCACAAATGCCCCTCACAGGCTGGTACCGCCAGTCGCCCCCAACCCCCAGCTGTTTGCAAAGATCGTGGGAAATGCCTTCGCCATCGCTGTGGTTGGGTTCGCCATTGCCATCTCACTGGGGAAGATCTTCGCTCTGAGGCATGGCTACCGGGTGGACAGCAACCAGGTCTGGGGGACGGGAATGTGGGACACAGAGACCCCAGGAGTCGTGGGGGCTGAGGGAGGAAGAGCAGGATAGTTGGCACGGCGGCCAGGTGCTGGGAGTTACTGATGTGGATGAAGGCTGGAGATGCAGAAGCCTAGGTGAGTGGGCAGTCTGCACTAGCCGCTGCTAGTGCAGACCTCCGTGCCTCTACTTGCCTTTGCCAGGAGCTGGTGGCCCTTGGGCTCAGTAACCTCATCGGGGGCATCTTCCAGTGCTTCCCCGTCAGTTGCTCTATGTCTCGGACCTTGGTACAGGAGAGCACCGGGGGCAACACCCAGGTGGGCTTCAGGGGTGGGTTTGGGTGTGCGTCTGTGTGTGGGACACACACTGTTTTGGGTGTCCCATCTCTGCATTCTCTTCCCTAATTCCTTTCACACCCCTGTTCACCCCCCTTCTTCCTCCCCCCCCCCCCCCACACCCCTCACTCTCATACCGCAGGTGGCCGGAGCCGTCTCCTCCCTCTTCATCCTCATTATCATCGTCAAACTAGGGGAACTCTTCCAAGACCTACCCAAGGTGAGCCCCTACTCACACCCAGCCAGGCTTCAAGGCCTCGGACAGGCCTGGGCCTCAGATCAGTCAGTCGGGTCCCAAGTGAGAGACAGGGAAACGAACTCTCTGAGCTCTATGGGTGAGATTTAGAGTCAAGGGTCAGAAGTTACAACCTTTCAGAGTCAGACCCAAGTTGTCAGCTTCAGGAATGGATGGTTTGCATTGGTCGGGGTTTGTCCAGGTGCTTGGGTCACTCACACACAGGGGCTCGGGGTTGTTGCCATCCAGGCATCTTTCAGCCTGGTGACACACCCCCTCGCCCCAGGCCGTGTTGGCAGCTGTCATCATTGTGAACCTGAAGGGCATGTTGAAGCAGTTCAACGACATATGCACTCTCTGGAAGGCAAATCGAGCGGATATGGTGAGAGGCCTGGGAACCCAGGGGCTTCATCCGCGATGGGCTCTGTAGACCCTGCTGACTGCTGCCCTTCTGTTTGCAGCTCATCTGGCTGGTGACCTTTGTGGCCACCATCCTGCTCAACCTGGACATCGGTCTGGCCGTCGCACTAGGCTTCTCACTGCTGCTGGTGGTGGTCCGCACACAGCTGTGAGTCACCCTTTTTGGTCTGCCTGTTGCAACCACATACCCAGTTTTCCCACATGTGGGGTGGCCCCAGACTCCTGAGTGCCCCCTCAACACTCTCTCTCGTGGCCCCTTACCTACTCTCTTCCTCACAGGCCTCGATACTCTGTCCTGGGGCAGGTGCCAGGCACAGATATTTACACAGACGTGGCTGAGTACTCAGAGGTAAGAAGTTGAGGCTAAGCAAGAGGAAGATGTAGGTGGGTGGGACAGAGGCATAATGGGCCTTTGTCAGGCACCTCCACACCTGCCAAAGACACTGAGTGCTGAGGGTGCTTTGCTTGTTGGAATTTCAGGGGAGGAACTTGGGTCTCTGACCCGTGCAATGTTGAGGAACTAGAAAGGGGCAGAGGCAGAGAGGGGAGAAATGGGCCTGGGGCAGGGGAGAGGGTTGCTCTTAGAGCCACCTGTAAAAGTCCCATTCTGTAGTGCAGTCCTGGGTCAGGAGTGGCCAGATGGCTAGGATCTGGGGCACCAGGATTTAGGGGAGGCTGATCAGTGCCAGTTATGGATCCCTAACTGGTCATTTACCTCCTGAGAGCATCAGGAACAGTGGTGGGAGCTCTGGAGTAAAGCAAGTCCATTCTTGACATTGTAGGCCTTAAAAGCTGAGCACAGCAGATTAGGCAGAGTGGGGGAAGGACTTGAGGGGAGCAGCTCAGCTGGATGGGAAAGGGCGGTATTGGGGAGGTCACCTCGTGCAGAGAATTAGGCTGTGTGCTGAATGGAGCAGGAGCTAGAGAATGCCCCTTGGGATGGCAGCTTACGCGGGCTCTGCATTCAGAAGGCAGGCCACAGTGCAAGGGCTGGAGACCCCAGAAGAGGCCTGAGAGCCTCTGAACCCTGCTCTGGGAGGTGGCAGAGGGGCAGGAGAGTTGGGGAAGGAAGAGTTGCATGTCCCTAGAGTAAGCCCTGATAGGCCTGACTGACACCTCGGGCCGGGGTGAGGTTGCAGGACAAGGAGTTGGGATGACACTGCCTGGTGTGTGGCTCCAGCTTCTGGGAGGGCATGGCCGTGGGCAGGGACTGTGCTGTCTGGGAGCTGGGGGTTGAGCAGTGACAGGCACTGGGCCTCACAGGGGGCCAGAAAGGCAAGAGAGCAGCCAGGATGCAGCCAGGAGTGCGGAGAGCTTAGCCAGCCCTCACCCTCACCTGTCCCCAGGCCATGGAGGTCCCGGGAGTGAAGGTCTTCCGCTCCTCAGCCACCGTGTACTTTGCCAATGCCGAGCTCTTCAATGATGCCCTGAAGAAGAGGGTGAGGCCTGGTGTTCCCAGCATGAATGTCAGAGGGGCCCGACCTCCTCAGGGTCCACGTCTCCTTCCTGACTTTTACCTCTAGTGCGGTGTGGACGTTGACTACCTCATCTCCCGGAAGAAGAAGCTGCTCAGGAAGCAGGAGCAAAAGCTGAAACAAATGCAGAAAAAGAAACTCCAGGAACAGGCAGGGGCCCCTTCGCCAGTGGCTCCCCTGCCCCCGTCCCACTGACCCCACTCAGCCTTCCTGCCAGCGTTGGCTCCCTCCTTCACCCATGGCCTGTTTCTCCTGGATGCTTGCAACAGCCCTGCTTTATTTGCCAGCCGTTGGACTCTAGACAGTGCTGTTGACTGCTGTTTTTCTCCCACCTCCTGAACCCGTGACAGTGTGAACCATCCTAGCCCTCTTTTCTTCCTAAAATGGTCGAACCCCCATGGATGTCCTGGAATTCATAATCTTGGATTCCTGCCCAGAACCTGGGGAGGAGGGATGACCCAGCCCTGCTGGCATGGCTGTCTAGCAGCTGGGACAATCTTCCTGTTCCCTCTCTTCCTGGCCTAGGGTGCTCCTTCAGCAGGCACTTCTGTTCCTACCAATGTCAGCAACAGCACCAGAGACATTGAGAGCAACAGTGTGGAGGACTCCAAGGTCAAGGTGAGGCTGGAGGTGGGAGGAAACCAGCCACGAGCTGCAGAGATGTTGGTGCCCACATATAGCCCATGAGGAAACCATGGACCTATCAGTGATGGGTTCAGAGTTGTTCTAGTGGCAACAGAAAGGGGGTGATGGTTCAGATACTCTGTGGGGAGATTTCCGGTGAAATGCCATAGAATTCTGCTGTGGCTCTCATCTGATCTAAGGCCTAGATGAAGATCTTGAAGGGGTAGACTCTGTCATACCCTCAGTCTATGCTTGGGTGGAGGGAAGGGACTGGCTGTATGGAGGGAAGATGGGATTAAAGGGGTAAAGAGATGCAGGCTGGGTGCCAAGATGTGTGTGTGTGTGTGTGTGTGTGTGCATGCACACACATGTGTCTTCTGGCTGTGCCTGAGCCCCTGCCACCCTCCACCCTGGCTGACCAAGGATGGGGCCCAGGAGGTGACAGTCTGTTGGCTCCCGAGTCTGAGCATCCTCTCCTGCGTGTCCCACATGTGCAAGAGGCTCCCTGTGTCATGTCCTCATGTGGCCCTGCCCTATGCATGAGGGTATTTACATGCCTGCTCCCATGTCCGACCCTGTGTCCTGTGTGTCTGTGCTTGTGTCCTGACCTCATGCCCTTGCCCTGTGCCTGGTTCCCTAGGATCTAAGTGTGAGGAGTGAGCTAGAGGATACAGATGCAGCAGCCCGTGGTCAAGAAGATGCCAAGGCCTCAGATAAATCCACACTGAAGGCCCTCGGTCTGCCTCAGCCAGATTTCCACAGCCTCATCCTGGACATGAGCACTCTCTCCTTCGTGGACACTGTGTGCATCAAGAGCCTAAAGAATGTAAGGGGCTTCACGAGGAAATCATACGTTGTACAAAACTGAAAGATAATATAATGAGTTTTTTTTTAAAGGAGTGTAAAGGGTTAGGGTCCTCCTAAGAAGAAGCCAAAACAAGGCCCCTTCTGCCTCCACCCTGACCCCATAATAGCTTCAAGAACTCTGAGTCCCTGCCCCAAAACCTCTGAGCTCCCCCTGTAAACTTCCTCTAGCCTACCTGAGCTCCCCCTCAAAATGTCTGAGCCTCCCTTTGAGTCAGACCCCCTTTCCTGCTACAGATATTCCGTGACTTCCGGGAGATCGAAGTGGAGGTATACATGGCGGCCTGCAACGGTACGTGGGTGGGGACAGCAGAAGAGGTCTGGGAAGAGGGTGGGGCTCTTCCTGCCAAGGAGTCTGCTGGGCAGCACAATGAAGAGGTCTTTCTCGTTTCCTGGGAGGCAGGGGTCAAGGATCAAGGGTGTCTGGGGGGTTCTGGCTCCAGCCAGAACTTCCAGGGTGGAAGTCAAGAGCGACACAGGTCAGGAAATTCTGCTGGTGGCTGGGGTTTGGGGTCCTGCAAGTCAAGGGAAACCTGCTTGCCAACAGGTCCTGTGGTTGCCCAGTTTGAGGCTGGACATTTCTTCGATGCCTCCATTACTAAGCAGCATCTCTTTGCCTCTGTCCATGATGCCGTCATCTTTGCCCTCCAACACCGCAAGCCCAGTTCCATCAACAATGTTTTGGTGAGCTGCACTGAGCTCTTCATCTACTCATTGGCCTGTCCTGACCCTGACTCCTAGGGGTCTACCCTTTCTGGGTGGTGCTGCCCCCGGGAGCCCCACTGCGCTGTAGCTCTGCCTTTGCAGGACACTGCTGGGGCTCATGGTGTCTATGTGCCATTTGAAAACTGACTGGAGCTTCTCCTCCTCTGCCCACTCAGGTTACCAAACTCTGACCATGCTGCCGCTCTGCCTGAGACTGCCTGCCGCTGCAGGTCGTAAGGGGTCATCAGTGAGAGCCACCCCCCCCACCCCGGGCTGTCTTCAGATGCCACCCAGGAGTCCCCCACACACATACACACACAACTCAGGGATGGAGGTCCTGGGACTCCAAGTTCAGTGCCCTAGGCCTGCAATGGGGTACTGGAGTCAGCCCAGCACTGCCCAGGTTGGGGAAGGACACGTGTTTTCAGCCTCAGGAATAAAGATTCATTTTGTCAACACCAGGCTCTGCTGTGGCTTGGGGGGAGCTCAGCAGGGGTGGGGTAGTCTACAGCTCTGGCTCCTGACCCTTATTTGAGTCACTGAGAGTTGGGAGGAAGGTTGGGATGGCGGAGTGAGGCAAGAAGAGTGTAGTGGGGGGGGGGGGAGCCAGGGCGCCGGGGCCAGAGTGTGGGCATCAGGTTCAAGTTTCTCCTGGCCACACAGCCCCTGGTAGCTCTGTCCTCAACTGCATAGCAGGTAGGATCCGAGTTGTGCCTCAGAAATGCCTCCCATGGGGTTCAGGGCAGGGCATGTGCCACCGGGCAACTCCTGGAGGGGGCAGATTCAATACTGAGTAAGCACAGGTGTTCACAGGAAAAGCTGGGCTGTATTTAGAAGCAGAATGTGCCGATTGATTTACTTGGGAAAATGCCAGTCTGTGTAATTAGATCACTTGGGCTTTGTAGGTCACTGTTGGCCAAGCACATGGTGTTTTCTGCCATGAAGTGCCAGCATCTGGCAGCAGTGGTACCCCTTGGCCCACTGATGCTATGCGTGATGTGGGGAGCAGCTAGACTCTTCTGAGCCTTAGCATGCTCCTCGCCAGTCGAGCAGGGTGCTAACAGTTCCCATCTCATGGGTTAGCCGGTGAGTATAAAACGAGCACATGCCGAGTGTGCAACAGCGCTGGGCCCATGTCACTGCTCAAAACAGGTGGGCTTCACTGCTGACTGGGCAGTACTGACCAGGCTCTTCGGGCTGAGGGCATAGGGCAGTCTCAGTTCTGTTTTTATCATGGCGAATGTCCTCACCCCACACTGGGTTTGTAAATCATCAGCTCTCCTCCACCCCCCAGAAGCTCAGCCCAGGAAGTTAGGGCTTTTGTCTACTCAGTCACTTCATGTTCCGGTACCAGGAACGGTATGTGGCATGTGATGGTGCTTGGTAAACATTGCTGGGGTGAAAGCAGGCCTTGCACAAGAACCTATGTATTGTTAGCAATGCTTTGAAGAAAGAAACAGGCTCACAGAAGAGACAGAGGTGGTGGTGGACTGTATTGCCACAACTGGACCTCCAGCCATGGAAGGCGTCTTTATTCTAGGAGTGGGGACCACACCACAGAAGCCTGCGGGGCGAGGGGGGATGACAGAAACTCGTAGAGCCTCACAGGCCAGAGTGAGTCTTCAGGTTGGGTTTGAGGGCCTCTGTTTTGATGGCTCACTTTGCAGCTATGTGGACTGTGGGGCTGAGGCCAATGTAGGAGGGCCAGTGAGCAGCTCTGTGCACTCTGCTTGGTCAGCCTGGAATGGTGCGCCATTGCCAGTGTTAGGAGCCAGCCCTAAGGAGGGTGTGTATGTACATGTGTTAGAATTTTAGGGGTTGGGTGTTAGCTGAGGAGGGAAGAGGAGGATCACCCCAAGGCTGCCATCTTTCCTGACCCTGGAAACCCAGCTCGCTCCATGTTCTCTGGTCAGGCTGCCCCCCATGAAAGGTCATGGGCAGAGCTGGAACCTGCTGCCTCAGAGCTGGCCTGCCCCTGGGGGAGGGGTGTTTGCCTGTTGCCAAGCGCCCAGGTTCCGGCTGGCAATTGCTGTAGCCATGTCGCAAACACCGTCCTTCCTGCCATTGCTGCTCCTGCTGGTGACGGCTGCCCCTACCCATGGCTGGTCACGGCCCGTGTGGTACCAGGTGGGGCTGGACTTGCAGCCCTGGGGGTGTCAGCCAAACAACCTGGATGGTTGCAGGGTCAGCCTGGGCTGTCCTCGACACTGGATGGGCCTAGGGGGAAAGCACATCTACCCTGTGGCTGGGGTCACACTCACCACCACCATGATGCTGCTCATCAGCCGGGCAGTGCTACAGCGGCGGCGTGGGCATATGCAAGCCACCCAGGGTGAGGTGAGCACAGCACTGCTCTGTCCCCCAAGTCTCTGCTGTCCCTCATCACCAGTGAACTTGTCTGCCACCTGACCCTCTCCCATCAGCCTGTCCATCCTCCCACCCCATCAGTGGGCCTCCTGCTGCCCACCTCTCCTCCACTCACTCCCCTATATCCATACCAGGCAGCTCCTGACCATTCCCTATGGCCAATGGTCTGCCCCATCTGACCCCTTTCATGCCCTACTCCTCAACCAGAGTCCCATGACCACTTACAACCTCAGATTTTCCTTCTTATCCCCTTCTCTAGCTTCATTACTGTCCCTCCCCACACCTCCTTCTCTTACTCCTGCCTCTTGGTCTTCTCAGCAGGCGCAGGTGACCACTGACCACTCTGCATCCTGGAAACGGCGGGTCCCCATCTCAGACCGTGCCCTAATCATGGGGGCCCTCCACATGCTGGATTCCCTCCTGGTCCATATTGAGAGCCACCTTCAGCGCCTAGCCACCCAGAAGCAAACCCCAATAAAGGGGACTACTCCTGCCCAGAGCGGGTAACCCAATATATGCCTCTTTTTGCCTGGTGGCCACCTGGAGTGGGGATGGCCTTGGACTCAGGGCCAACTTGGTATTGTGTGTCTCTCAGAACTTCCTGGACCTTGCGTTCTTTCTGCTTTTAGAAACAGCAGAGTTTTTGAAGCCTTGGTGCCCAGGATGGGTGGGCAGGCAGGTGGACCCCACGCTGGCTCACACATCTCCATTGCCCCCACCAACTGACCACATGTTCCTAAGGAGCCAAGTCACAAATACAGTGCCTCTGGGCTCTTTAGGGGTGACCCCGTGTGGTGAAAGGAGACTTGACCAGTGAGCACAGTCGGATGATCCAGGGAGGGCTTCCAAGAGATGACAATGTAGCTGAGTCAGTTGGGGCTGCCAGTTGGGGTGTTTGAGTTGAGGGGGGGTAGAATGTGACCCCACCTGGCTTTGACTTTGTGGGACCTCACATGTGCTCTGGTGTCTGGCAATTTACTGGATGTGAAATAAGGACTGAATGCTCCCCAAAGGGGCCCAGTCCCTTTCTCTCTCCATTCAACCAGGTTGAATGGGTACCGAGGCCTATGCATTTTTAGGGTCTTTTGTAGAAAAAGGGTACAACATTGTGAATTAAAAATAGAAACAGAAATGAATGAAAACGAGAAAATCATAAACGTGACATTTAAAAAAGTTCACAAATGCTACAGCACAAAATTCATAAAGTAAAATTTGTGGTGGCACATTTCTCTAATATTTTTGCCCCTATATTTTCTGGCCACTCACTCTGATGGATTCTATATAGGATAAAGATTTTGCGATTTGAGGGGAAATACTTTCTATACAGAGAATGGAAAGGTAATTCAGTCTTAAAATACAGTTAACTGAAATTGTGTTTTGAGCATTGATAGTTCAGAAAACTTCTCTCCTGACCTGTTTTTAGTGGGGTCACATAAGTGATCTGGGTTATTTTTGTATTTGAGAAACTGTCATCAATTTTCATAAAGGAGCGGTATGATTTAGGAAATTTTCCCACAATGAGCTTCTGGCTTTACAGATTTCAAATATTCTTTTTCTTCCACGGCTCACAATTTTCAAATGCTGGGCACTTATGTGGCAGGTTCTTGATATAATAGGGCCTTTCACTTCTGAGCAGGCCTACTGTTTGGGGCCCTGGGAGCACTGCCCTGGTAGAAGTTTCCTGGAGAAAAAATAAGCTGCCCATACATAGCAGTTGAGCAAACCACAGAAACATGTCCTTCTGAGCCCAAGCCAAGAAGGAGGCGCAGAGATGTGCTGCCTAGGTCCCCCTTAAGGTAGGCCTGTTGCTGCCAACCTGAGACAAGCAGAGGTAGAGTAGATGGATGGATCTGCCTCAGCTGAAGGCAACCCCTCCTCCCACCCGCCAGCCCATCACAGCTAATTTCACCCTTGGCTCAATCCCGTACCTCCCTCCCTCCTTTAAGATCACCATCTGCTCTTACAGGGCTCCCTGGTAAACATCCTGTGCTCCCTCTTGGAATCTGCTTCCCGTGGAACCCAGTTGGGACCACCCCAAATCTACCTTCCTCTTGGCTGAACCCCCAAAATGCCATAACTCTTCCACATGAGGGCAAGTGGGGTGGAGGGAAGACTGAGTGGAAAGGGACAGAATCCTAATTGAATGCAATTAAACTAAATTGCAAGCTTTCCAAAAATACTCGATCCTACTGACAAACTACTGGGTACCTCAAAGTCTGAACTAAAAGGCATTGAAGGTTAAAGATCTTATGTCCTTATCTACAGCCTGCAAGTTCTAGTGAGCACCTGCTCTTTGCCAGCTCTGTGGCTAGCCAGGGCTGCCCTGCTCCTTCCTGACATAGACAAGGGGAGGATGGTGATGGCCAAAACAATCAAAAATGTGATTACCCTGCCGACAGGTGCTGCCTCACCTGTGTCTATCAACAGATGAATGGATATGTGACTTAGTTAAGCCAAATGTAAAAGGACAAGTGTAAATAATGTACAATCCAATTTATATGAAAAACCTAAACTAGACAAATTCATAGAACGTGGAATAGAGGTTATCAGGGACAGGAGAAATGGGGAAATGGCAAGTTATTGCCTAACATGTACAGAATTTCTGTCTGGGTTGATGAAAAAATTCTGCAAATAGTGGTAAAGATCATATATATTATGAAATACTTAATGCCACTGAATTGTACAAATAATAAAGACAGTGAGTTTATATATATGCACCTCTATATGTGTGTATATACACGCACATATATGCTAACATAATTTAAAAAGTAAAAATAACATTGAAATAAAAAAGTTTAGAATAATAAACTGGTGAGTATATCATACAAATATTGAATGAGAAGAATAAGATAAGTATCAGGGCCCTTCCAAGAAGCACTCATGGACCTGATTACAAGAAAGAGTCCTGCTTGACAAATGCTTTTTAAATTTTAGATTTCAGTTTAGGGGGGAATAATATTTTGGTTTCCTTTCATTCCATACGGTAAGTAAATTCCAGAAGATCAATGAGTCACTGAAAACTCATGCCAAAATGTAATGCATGGCTACTGTTTGACCTTTTAGTGACATTTCCTTTTTGATAAACCTCTTGAAAAACATCCTTCCCTGTTTGTCTACAATCACATTTCCTGATTATCTCACTGACCTTCCTTTCTCACCCAGGGTGACAGTGGGAGTGGACAAGGAGAGGATATATGCTTGGACTTAGAGATTACTTGGAAAAGAATCTGCTGAAGATTTAGGTGAAAAAGAGAGGGGGAGAGAGAGAGAGATCCCCAAACAAGGACTCCTTTTCACACATTAATTTCCAAGATTTTTTTTTTTAAGATTTATTTATTGGGCCCTCCCTAGTGGCGCAATGGGTTAAAGCATGTCACTATGAAGCTCTCTGAAGTCACTATGTCATGAGTTCTATCCCTGCTGAGGGGAGCAGTTGGCTAGACAGGAGAGGTCTGTTGTGCCATGTGGGTCATCTCTCTGGCTGGGGATCGAACTTGTGCTGTGGTGGCTGCTAATAGCCTCATAGTGCTGTACTTTAACCACTTGTGCCACCAGGAAGGCCCCAGTTTCTTTTTTCTTAATATAGACTTCTCTACCATCAGAAAATAGTGTGCCTATGAACCTCTCTTAAGTCAGAGTAATGAAGGATCAAATAGCATTCATTCAACAAAAAACTTTTTTTTTTAAAGATTTATTTATTTATTCATATAGAACTGGGGTACAGGCCAGAGATACGGAGGGTGAGAGGATTCACCAGAGACAGAGTGGGGAGCAGAACAGGCAGATCGATGAGGCACACTGCTGAGGAGAGCAGCGGGCGGGTCAGGAGAGGTCTGCCTCGCCATGTGGACTCCTCCAGGGCAGGCGGGAATTGAACTCATGAAGAAGTGGCTTAAGCTTCGTAGTGCAGTGCTTTAACCAGTTGTGCCACCAGGGAGGGCACCAACAAAAAACTTTTTAACATTCCTAGACACCCTTCCCCAATAATCTATCAACTCATACTAAATCACATAAAACCTAAAAGTACTATCACAAAATATGATATGATAAATACACAGATTAAAAAAAGCAGTTTCCAGGGATGGAGCTGGGTTGCCCACTTCTTTATTATAGCTGCTGCAAAATAATCACTAAATGCTATTTTCACTTTTACTACAAAAGGTAAAGTGTCATTTTTCACTTTTGTTGTAATAGCAACTAGCCTCTCGATTTCCTTCCCTTAGTAAAAATAGCTACTGGTGTAGGCCTTTGTAAAAGCAAGAGGCTACAAGTGAACTTGAAGCCAGAACACCTGTTTATTAATGTTGGGAGTGACCAAGTGCAGAGATTTACTGAGGGACTGGATAAGGGCAGTAATGAATTAGGCCTTGCATCCAAGGGTAATAAGGCGGTAATAAACTGGGCCTTGCATCCAATTAACGGAGCCTTTTGACCGGCAGGGATGGGACTAGATGAAGCTGATAAGGAACTGGACCTTACATCAAGGGACATAGCGATGAGTCACCCTTTTGGAATTTGAGTTTAGAATCTATATAAGAGCCCCTTTCCCCTATAGGGCTGGCAGTAGCTGCGGACCCCACCCTAGGGGCTCTGTCTCAGTTGCTGTCCGGGAGCAATAAACTCTGCTTGCTCAGCCTTTCTGCCTCCTGCCTTTCTTTCTTGCCGCCAGTCACAGAAGTTGGGACAAAACAAATTCTTTCCATGTAAATATTTAAAATTTTTAAGAGTCAAAACATGACTTTTCATCATAGCCTCCTCCAGATTCCAAAATAATGCTTTAATTTAGTTTAGGAAATCCATTACCCTGGCGCCTGGTGGCTGTGTTCCCAAGACATTCTGAGCACATAGTGAATTGAGACGCCTGCTGTTTGCGAAAAACATCACGCACTGGAGATGAACTGGACCTGGACGGCCCTCCACGGTGCACAGACAACCCAGAGGGCTGATCCGCCCGGGTACACGTAAACCAGCCACAGCCAGGAGCAAATATCCCTGGCTTCCGCCAGGAGGCAAAAGAGAGCCAAGTCTCCGGTACTGCGCCTGCGTCTCCGACGCCTCTGCGTCTACCTTACGCATGCGTGGCCTGGCTCCGGGCTGACTGAAGCTAGAAGATGGCGGCTTCCGCGGTTTGCCGGGCTGCCGGCGCCGGGGCCAGAGTGTTGTTAAGCAGCCGTGGTTCGGTGAGGTGGCGGCGAGGGCACAGGGCTGCTGGGCGCGGGGCTTCGGGACATCCACAGGGAGTGTGCTGTTAGCGGCGGCGGGGCGCGTTTGGAGAGGTTGCGGGGTCAGGGCCGTGGGAAGGTCACGCCATGGCACTAAAGGGAGCCTTGAGACTGGCCTGTTGGCGGGAGCGGGCATCTCACTGCAGACCTGGGAGCTGAAGAACGACCCCGTCCTCATTCCTGGCCGCCCCTTTCCAGCAGCCGGCCCTGCTGAGATCTCCTGCCTTGAGGGGCGCCGCCACCTTCGCCCAGGCTCTCCAGAGCGTGCCAGAGACGCAGGTCAGC